TTTTCTTGTTATGAGAAGAGTTTTTCTTAAAAACAGTAATAGTGGCTAGAGTTACTTATTTTTCTTCACTCTGCATTGTCATCTCATTGAATCTTCCAAGCACCTTTTTTTTTTGAGACAGAGTCGCCAGACTGGAGTGCAGTGGCATGACCTCGGCTCACCGCACCCTCTGCCTCCTAGTTCAAGCAAGTCTCCTGCCTCAGCCTCCCAAGTAGCTGGGACTACATGTGTGCACCACCACACCCAGCTAATTTTTGTGTCTTTAGTAGAGACAGGGTTTCACCATGTTGGCCAGGCTGGTCTCAAATTCCTGACCTCAGGTGATCTTCCTGCTTCGACTCTCAAAGTGCTGGGAAATACAGGCATGAGCCACCACACCCAGCCCCAAGTGACTTTTTGAGCCAGGTATTATTACCATGCCCATTTTATAGTTGAGAAAACAGAGCTGGATCCAGGTAACTTTCCAAAGGTTACACCCTAGGAATTGTTCAGTCAGTGTTTGAACCCAAGCAATCTGGCTTCGCAACCTACACTCTTAGTCATTATTCTGTATTACCTCTTATGAGAAGTGTTTGATTTTAATGATCATTTATGGAAGAAGCATTAATAACTCTTAGGCTGTTGCAGTGGAATTGTATAGACGCACAGGTATGCACTGTGCACCTGGCCAGTTCTGAGTCATTTTTGATCTTCTCTTTGCCAGAGTATAAAAATGAGACTTGTTAAAATGGTTTTGTATCTTAAATGGTTATTTTTGGTAGTATTTGCTGGAATAGAGGAATTCTGCAGAGGTCCCCACCCAAACAGGCAGCCTGCCTTCATTCTTGTCCCACAGATTGGGTCCTGAGTGAGGCCTTACAATGAGTCAGGGGACAGGCTGCTGATCTCCTAGTTTGGGGCCCAGACAGCCCTGAGCCTCAGCTGGCAGGGCTTCACGGAGAGGGCCCAGCGGTGCTGGGGGGCCGACCCCTACCGTCTGAGCAGGGCTGGGAGGGTGATTGGGACACCTGTATTTCAGGGCCCTATTACGAGATGTGTCCTGTCTAAGATATGCAAATTCTCCACTGCTGCCTCAATTTTGTTCTGTTTCGTTGATTTTGCTATGTTTTTCTAGTAGGCTTTAAAAAAAAGTGTTTTTGTTTTCTCAACAGATTTGAAAGAAGAGGTACTAACTAATTCCTATTAGTGGCATAAGAACCTGGCTAAAGGGGGGTGCAACTACAGCCAGAGGTCACCATTGGCTCCTGCCAGCAGGGGACCTGGTTTCTCAGTGTCCAGAGGGCAGCTTGTCACTGAGCCGAAGCCCTCTTGCTGCAACTTCATTATTTGGGTCAAAGTTGGCTCATTTACCTTTATTCTCAGCTATATTTCTTCCAATTTGATTGGAGTAAGAGAAGAGCAATGTGCTGCAGGATTGTAGAGTGTCACCTGTTATCTGAGGACCTTTTTCAGATGTACATTTGCTTAAATCATTCCCTTCTGCTGAAAGTTTGAACATAAAGTACAAAGGCAGCACAATTGCTAACATCTTAGCAGTGGGACTGAATAACTAGTCTACTATGCAGAGTGCCCTGTTTATTCCTTAAGTGTTCTCCATTTTTAATTCATTAATTAGTAATGTAGTTGACCACAGGCAGGAAACCCGGGGATACTCACATTTCCTAGGTCCCATGGTACAGTGACAAGGGTGGGGGCAGCTTCAGTGAAGCAGATATATTCAGGCAGAAGATAGAGTTGAGATTTTGAGAGAAAGGAGTGAAATAAATGGCTTATTTTCTTGGTGAGCAGAGTAAATGCAGTTGCACAGGACCACTTTTTCACCAGTGTCTGTCTGAGGAGAGGAATCGGAGGGTGGGAGGCTGCGGTGGCTGCATGTGAATGAAAGCAGTGGACACCCTCCGCGTGTGGCCGGTTACCTGCCCCACCCCATCACCTGCATGTGGAAGGCAGGTTACCATCTGTAGTAGAAAAGTCCATGGCCTAGATCATGTCATGGATGTTTTTGATAAAAACATTTTGACTCTTTGATGAAACATTACAGCCTTGTTCTGGTAAATGTTAGTTTTAGCTCAGTGCAGCCAAGTTTGCACATAATTGGTTTCTTTGAGCAAGATTTGCCTGTTCGGTTAATTCAAGTCCATCATTATAACCAGGATAATAATTTTGTCCAGAGCATTGCTGTTGACGTGATGCCCTCCGCTGCATCCTCTTTCATCTGTGCTCCATGGCGACTCCTTTAGGTGGCATTGGTATTCCTAGGATCCCTGTTTTAGCAAACTGAGTCTCTGAGAAATTAAGTGATCTCTTAGGTCATACAGCTAATGCTTTGTGAAGCCTTTCCGAAACCCAGATTGCCTTACTCTCAATCTTACGATACTGTTACTGCTATACCATGTCACTTAGCAACCTAGAATGTTTTTCATGGGAAATGTTAGTGCAAATTGGAAAATTCCTTCATGCTGTCATCTTTCCTATTTATAAATGCAGCTGCCATGTTCATGAGAATTTAGAGGAAAAGAGCACGAGAGCATCTTATCGATTATAGACCCTTTAGGGATGGTGCAGAGTGTCGGTTCTTATTTGGTGAACTGGTGAGTGGCGTTTTCATGTGGAATTAAATATTGATGCCAAGTGTGGCTGAGTATTCTTTCCGATACCAGCTTCTGGGCATGGTACTTCATCACCTGTGCCTTCTCCTCCTTAATCTATAAAATGAAAAATTTGAACTAGCCTTTCTCTACAACTCCATTGATTTCAGATTCTTGAATTGTATGAAATTTAATAACGTATACACAGAAAAGGTAGAGAAATATGAGAAAAGTTAACAAATGTTTTATTTACTTTAATATTTTCAGTAAAATTAGTTCTTAGGACCCTGGGTAACAGGACTGAAAAATGACTTCTTTGTCAGCAGTTTTCTTATTTTAAAATTGGCCTGCTATATTGTAAATGTGTACTGACCTGCAAGTAACAATAAAGGTATGTTCTATGTATGTAAATATTGCTCAGTGAACACACTGTAGCATGGAATTGGTACCAAGATTTTCTATGTGAAAAATGGAAGTCAGTTTCTCTGTGCATATGTGAGAGAAACAAAGTCATCTGGAAATAGTGTGGTTTTAAAGATATGTTTGACAGCAAAAGCACACTTAAAAGCTTAGCTTGGATTTGCCATCATTAGTAATTAAGGAACTGCAGATTGAAACCATAAGTGAAATACACCACTCATTTAGATGGCTAAAGTTAAAAAGACTCACCTATCCGTTTTTGGTGAGGATGTGGAGGAACTGAAACTCTCATACACTGCTGGTGGGAAGGTAAAAATGATACATCACTTTGGAAAAGTTTGGCAGTTTCTTAAGAAGTTAAAGATACTCTACCATATGATCCAGCCACTCCACACCTAAGTATTTCTCTAAATGAAAGGAAATCATAAGTTCATACAGAGACTATGCCCAAATATTTATAGCTGCTTTACTTGTAATGGCTCCAAACTGGAAATAACCCAGATGTCCACCAGCAGACGAAGGAATAAATTATGGTTTTATTACACACAAGAGACCGTTACTCGACAGCGAAAAGAAATAAACCCTTGATACACACAGTAGTGTGGATGAATGTCAGGGTAATTATGCTGAATGAAAGAAGCGAGACCAAAAAGAGAGAGAGAGAGCGCGCGCGCATACTGTCCCATTCCAGTTCTAGAAATCATTTTAGAAAATGCAAACTAATCTCCAGTGGCTGAGAGCAGATGAGTGCAGGGAGGGAGCATGACACAGGGCGTCAGCCAGTTTTGAGGTGAGGGAGAGGCTCACTGACGGTGAACTGGTTGTAGACAAATGTCAGAACTCACATTGGACACTTTAAATTTGCACAGCTTATGGTATGTCAGTTAGTCCTCAGTAAAGCTGTGTTGTAGAAAGCTTGGCTTGGAAACAAGACCACATGCACACACAGTTTCATTCTGCAAGGGCAGTTTTGACTTAGCCTGGAGGCAGCAGGCGTTGGACAGGGTGTCACGCAGGAGGTCCCCCAACTTGCCCCATCTCGCCAACTGAGCCAGCTGTCCTCACTAGACACGCAGAAGATGTGTGAGCTGACTCTTAGTCCCTGAGGAGGCTGAAAGCATTTTCTCCACATGCAAACCACTGCCAGGCCACCAGGGCCCACTTAGTGTAATTAATTGTCGTTTTCAGTTCTCTGAATAGTACCCCAGAGATTGGCAGGAGTTAATGGGCTTCCAGGAAGTAGGCTGTGCTCCCCGGCTCCCACCAGACCTAAATCATTCCTGCCACTCTCGTTCTAGGGTGTCTTTGCTCATCTCGATCGCCAGCAACCTGTTTTATGGTGGTGGCAGTGGAGGTGTCTGTCTTTGCAGCGTGCAGTGTGCTCTTCCCAGCGAAGGCCTGAACTGTTGGCAGCCTGACTGTGGGGCCTGGGCTGGTGTAATCACCTCCATTGCTCCACACCCTGGTCCTCGGCCAGGCTTGGTGGTGAATTCATTTCACCACATTGCACGCTTCCTTCTGTTGCATTGCTTGCAGGGGAAATCGTTAGTTTAATAATGAAAAATGGAAACAGAAGTGTCCGTTTGCTAAGTAAGAGCCCGAGACACGTCAGAGAAGGTGTCCTATGTCCGCAGATGTGTCTGCGGACTGAGGGTCTTTTCTTATTTCCACCCCACTCCGGATTGAGCCTCAGGAGAATGGGAAGGAGCAGCTTCCCTTCCCTTTCCTTTTTCTCTTTTGTGACGGTGGCCGGCGTCTGTTTATTTTCCTCCCTGCGGCATGGCATGCTGCTTTTGTTGTGCGTGTGTTCACTGGCAGTGGGACTGGATGCCCCTCCCTTCTGTCCTTCCTTCCTTCCCTCTGGGAGCGGTCTGTCACCAGTCACCTCCCAGGGCAAGTCACACACCGTCCACCCGGGCCCTTTGGACACTGGGCAGCCCACCTGGTAGTGCAGCCAGGCCGGCGGCCTCAGCCCCTTCTCCCCTTCCCCAGCTGTGGACGTGGCTGGAGGAGCTGCAGAAGGAGCTGCTGGACGACGTGTATGCCGAGTCGGTGGAGGCCGTGCAGGACCTCATCAAGCGCTTCGGCCAGCAGCAGCAGACCACCCTGCAGGTGACCGTCAACGTGATCAAGGAAGGGGAGGACCTCATCCAGCAGCTCAGGTGCGCCTCGCCCCTCTCCTGGTCGGAACAGATTCTGGAACCCTGCCTGTGACTCCCCTGCCCCTTTTACTCTTGTGAGTGATCAGCGCTGATTCTCTGTCCAGCCGAGTGCAGAGCAGCAAGTGGCATCTGTGAAGGCAAAAGAGAGAAACGGGTCTCTTCTCTCTTTTCTTCTCTCCCTCCCTTACAGTTTAGCTTTATAATAATTTTCGTTATAGCATTGACTCATGAACCACAGAGTTTAATTTTAATATTTTCTCTTAACACCCACGTAGTAATTATTGACATTTCTTTATAAATCAGATTCACGTGAGCCTCTGAGGATCATGCCCTCAGGCCAGTCTCAGGCACAGCAGAATTTACCTCCCAGCATTGAGGTTCAGTCAGGCTGGGATGGGGCGGACACCCACCCCCAAGTGCTCGTCAAAGTAGGATATGGGGGCAGAGCCAGAATTGGTTTTTGTTTCCTCGGGAAGCAAATATTTTTTTATTGGGTCAGGGGGATCATTTAGTCCCCTACTGTATGACTCAGGACAATTTATCAAATTGTTAACTGATAAGTTTATATGAAGTGTACTTCGCTGAGAGAGGCAGGCAGCAGTTACTTAATAAAGGCTTAATTGATTATATTAGAGGTTAACCTCTCATGTCCAATATGAGTCTGCCACTTATGCTAACCAGGTATTACCCATTTTTTACTTAAGGAGAAAAGTGGCTAAAAATACAACTCTGAAATAATTTTCTATAATTATCAGCCTTCTTACAGAGTGACTTCAGAAAATGCCAGAAAAATGCTTCAGTGTATCCTCAGATTCTGCAGCATTGCTCCGAGGAGGAAGCCTAATACTACTGTTTGGCAGGGGAGCAGCCCATTCCATTTTCTGAGACAGGCAGTGCAGCTTCCTGCCAGCGCTCTTCCCGTGAAGATTTGCGTGGCCGGATCTGGTATCTAACAATGCGACTTTCTCATCCAATTCCTGTTCATCTGTGTGCTCTCGCAGGGACTCTGCCATCTCCAGTAACAAGACCCCCCACAACAGCTCCATCAACCACATCGAGACGGTGCTGCAGCAGCTGGACGAGGCACAGTCACAGATGGAGGAGCTCTTCCAGGAGCGCAAGATCAAGTTGGAGCTCTTCCTGCAGCTGCGCATCTTCGAGAGGGACGCCATCGATGTGAGTGTCTCGTGGCTGGCACCCAGCTGCCTGTGGGAGCCTTGGCTTCCTCCATAGCACTGGTGCCCTCTTGTCTCTGCCCTGCTCAGGTCCTGTGGCCTCACGTGTACCCCCACCCTCTACACCAGGACAGGGGTCCGGGAGGGAGCGAGGGTCCTGGAGGCTGGAATTGGATTGTCCCTGGGAGGCTGGGGGATGCTCAGCCCTGAGCCCTGATGTTGGAAACTGTAGAGCAGGCAGCTCACGTGGCAGAAGCAGAGCACAGCAAGTGCTGAGCAGAACAGAAGGAAGCCAGCACAGCTTTCTCTCGGCCTTGGGGTGTCAAAACCTTGATTGGGTTGCACACAGCACTTCCCTGTCCTCAGCTTAGGCATGGTCATCAGCTTCAGGCATCGAGCCTCCCTCTCCTCCTCCCTGTCATCTTCTCATCCTTCCCCTCTCCTCCTGGCCTCACCCTCTCCTTTTCTCTCCCTGTCTTCTCTTTCTCCTACCGTCTCTCTTCCTCACTTCCTCCCTTTCTCTTTCCTTCTTCCTCTCTCTTGCTCTTCTCTCTCCCAGAGTGGGAATAATCCTGACTTGTGGTCATAGCATTTTAGGTAATAGAAAATCCAATTTCCCCCCACAAAGAGATATTCTTAGATTATCTATAATTCTTACCTAAACATGGACTTTTGCACCTTCTATGTGAAGAGGAGAAAGAAATTGCAGGTGTCTTTTATCTTTCTTCAACAAAAAGAGAGTGGTCCTGGGTTCTGTGCTTAGGAGGAGCTCTCTTTCTTGATACTGTGCGCGCAGAAGTCAGTCCAATTGCATGAGCTCGACCCTCCCTGGGAACATGACGAAAGGGGCCAAAGCTCCTCCCTGCAGTGGATGAGTTGCCCTCCTGGAACCTGGCCACTTCCTACAGCTGGTGGCTGTGACAGCCTGAAGGCCTCCTCCATGTCTGGGCTTCCCTGTGGATCCTCTGTGACTGTTGATGGACACATGTAGAGCACACAATCAATATTTATTTCTTGTCTGTGGTTTAGAACTCATCAGCAGTCCTTGGAGGGGGCTCGGGCCGGGGATGGCAGGGCTGTGCATAGCTGCCCTCGGTCACCTCGGCGCAGGAGGGAACTTCTGCCCATAGCGGGCCGTGTGGCTTCCCCTAGGCCTGTGCTGGAGAGGGGTTTTGGTTTGTGGTGCAGTGGCCAGGCCAGCCCTGTGCCAGACTCTCCTGGATGCCTTTGCTTGGCCACTTGTCTAAATCTCTAGCACTGTTTCATTAACAACAGACCTTCTTGGCTCTGCTCATTCTCCCATATTAGTGAATAACAAGAAGGAAGTCAAACTCTAAACACGTGGCTTGGTGAACCCTGCTCAGATGCTGTGAGTCATGGCCTTTAGATCCACATGGAGCCACATGGAGAAGAGACACCTGCACACCGGCCTCTGCCCGGTGAGGGCCTGAATGGCCTCCCCAAGGTAGCAGCACAGAATAAATGGGAGGCCAGCCAGGCCCACTCTCCTCTCTGACTTCAAAGGACTAGCTTTTGTAAAACTTAGCTGTAGATTGAATATTTTCAGTGAGGAAACACAAACCAACCAAAAGCATTAGTTGCAGTTTTTCTTCCAGGACATTTTGATATTGGAAAAAAAAATTGGATTCTTATACTTTAAAGAGAAGAAAATTTTTAGTATTTAAAAAATTGTTAAGTATTTATTATAAGTGTATGAAAGTATTTTCATTTTCCTTGAACCAGATCAGGAAACAAAAACATACATTTTCCCCCCAATGAAGCTACAAAATTACAAGTGCCCTAGATAGAGCGGGCATGCCAAAGCCTGGAGGAGTGCATCCCGAGCAGAGGAAAATTCCTGCAGCCCAGGCTCGTGCCAGCATCAGATATGGTTATATGGTTCAGAAGCTGTTGGAAGGGCACAGCCTGAGAACCTCTGTTCTCTTTAATTCTGAAAAATGAAAATCTGAGCAGTTTAGGCTTTGACTGGGTTTCGTCTCTTATCCAGGAAGATGCCACATCTGACGGCCCATAGGAGCATGGAGTTATATCAATTTGATATAGTAGAATTGGTCTGTTACTGGTTAATTTATTTTAAGTCTCTCATGTCTCTTGTCTTTCAATTGGAGTAGCATCTCCATCTCAGAAGTGGCTGGAGGTCTTCCATGTTCATATCAGCGTGGATGGTGCTCCTGTGGAGCACGCGCATAGGATCCACGAGAAATGCCACTCCACTCAAGTGTGCAGTGTAATCGTCTCTCACAAGAAGCTTTCCTGCTTTTTAGGTTTTATAATTTTTTAAAAAGTGTTTATTATGAAAGTTTTCATGAATGGATGTGGCGGCTCTTACCATTCATGAAAACTTTCATAATAAACACTTTGGGACACTGAGGTGGGCGGATCACCTGAGGTTAGGAGTTTGAGACCAGCTTGGTCAACGTGGTGAAACCCTGTCTGTACTAAAAATCCAAAAATTAGCTGGGCGTGGTGGCAGGTGCCTGTAATCCCAGCTGCTCGGGAGGCCGAGACAGAAGAATTGCTTGAATCCCGGAGGCAGAGGTTGCAGTGAGCTGAGATTGCGCCATTGCATTCCAGTGTAGGTGACAAGAGTGAAACTCCATCTCAAAAAAAAAAAAGTCTTCAAAGCTCTTCAAAGCTATACAGAAATACAGAAGACAGTACAATGGAACCCCCCATATGCCCGTCCCACGAATGCAGCATGATTTTGCCAGCCTGGCTTCCCTTCTTTGGTTATTGCTGTGCTATAGTATTTTAGAGAAAATCACTGCTAGCTTATTCTTTCACTCCTAATGGGTTTTCTAAAAGATGAGGCCATTTTCTTATAGCCCCACAATCAGCTAAACATCCATCAGTCATTTCTTACTGTCATACGACTCCCAGCATGTTCAGATTGACGTGGGTGCCTCAATTAGGAGGCACGTGGGTTTGGCTCTTGCATTTAATGGCCAGTTTCTTAATCCAGAATTGTCTCTCCTTGGTCCTGCTCCTCTTTTTTTCATGCCGTCATTTTCTGAAGTAACTAGATGGGTTGTCAAAGGAACCAGATTCCACATTCAGCGTTTGTTCACTTGTATTATTTTAGGTTGTGTAACTGTTTTGGTTTCCCTGGCATTTCCTCTAAACTTAGAAGTTAGAGGCAGAGACCTGATTCTAGTTCTCTTTTTGTGCAAGAGTCTTTTCAGGGGGGTGCATCATAGCTCCCCATGTGAGGACACGCCTGTCTAATCCCACTTCTGTTGGGACGCTGAGGCTGGTTCAGGTACTATCATGCTGAGCTTCTGTGGTTAAATCCCCTCAGCCTTTTTCTCACAATAGTTTACTATGTGCTGATGCTCACTGCTTACAAGAATGTGAAAACAATTTTCCGGTTTGATTATTTTTTCTATATTTAATAGCTAGATTCATCTATAAAGAGGAATTCTTCATTATGAAATGATTACTTTTATCTTTTAATTAGGTGCCAATATTTAGGATAGTGTTTGGTTTTCTATCTATGTCTTTTTTTTTTTTTTTGAGACAGGGTCTCACTCTGTTGCCCAGGCTGGAGTGTAATGGTACCATCTCAGCTCACTGCAACCTCTGCCTCCCAGGTTCAAGCAGTCTTTTCCCCTCAGCCTCCCGAGTGGCTGGAACTACAGGTGTATGCCATCACACCCAACCAATTTCTTTCTTTTTTTTTTCTTTGTTAGAGATGGGGTTTTGCCATGCTGGCTAAGCTGCTGTTGAACTACTGACCTCAGCCACCTTGGTCTCCCAAAGTGCTGGGATTATAGGTGTGAGCCACTGCCCCCAGCCAATATGCTGTCTGCTTCTAGTAGAGACCAAATACTTTCGCTTTTCTCTCCCCTTCCTTCCTTCCTTCCTTCCTTCCTTCCTTCCTTCCTTCCTTCCTTCCTTCCTTCCTTCCTTCCTTCCCTCCCTCCCTCCCTCCCTCCCTTCTTTCTATGTTTAGCTTCTCTTATTTGTGAACACCATTAGGAATATGAATGGATTTTTGTATATACAATATATTTTATGTAGTTGTGGTAATTTCTCTCTTCAGATACCCAAAGAAAAATTATTCATCTTCTCTTTTGGTATCTTTGGCCAGTGGGAACCCCTTCAGCTGGCTTCTGTGTCCATTTATTTATTTTTGTTTAATTTGTTTAAACAGCTTTATTGAGGTGTGATTTATACGACAAAACTCATGCATCTTAAGTGTTTGACATCTCTGTCCTTGGACAGACAGACATCTCTTACTTACTTGGTACAGAGTGAAAGATGGCTGCATAGATTTATTTTTTGTCTTGATCTTAAATACCTTCCTCTTTCAGATTATCTCAGACCTCGAATCTTGGAATGATGAACTTTCTCAGCAAATGAATGACTTCGACACAGAAGATCTCACGATCGCAGAGCAGCGCCTCCAGCACCATGCAGACAAAGCCTTGACCATGAACAACTTGACTTTTGACGTCATCCACCAAGGGCAAGATCTTTTGCAGTACGTCAATGAGGTCCAGGCCTCTGGTAAGAGGGCTCATTCCGTCTGTGTCCATTATGGTGTCTTCATGTCATCATGGCAGTTCAGTTTATTTCAGTGGGATGACTGCAAATTTTGTTAGTTCCTGTCATATAGATATTATAGATACCTGTTCTTTAGAAGAATGTTTTGCATTTTTATCTAATGCAGTCACATTTAACATGGTTAGAGTACTCACCCATGATATTCTCACGTTATTTTAAGTATCATGAACTTTCAAAATGATATATCATAGCTCTGTGAATGAACTATATAAATCCCAGGAAAACATTTTCAGTCTTTATTTTTTTATTAGTTTATATTTTACCAGCAGATGTCACTGTAGGTTCAGAAATGTACTGTTATTTTTTTTATTAATTTATATTTTACCAGCAGATGTCACTGTAGGTTCAGAAATGTACTATTATTTTTTTAATTTATATTTTACCAGCAGATGTCACTGTAGGTTCAGAAATGTACTAGAAACTTAGCAACAGCCTGCATACTGCATTATTCATTTCACATAAATTAAATGCTTACTAAAGAGGAAACTGCATGCGGTGAGGACAACAAAAAATTCTGAAATTCACTCATTGGTAAAGAATGCTACATTTCCTAGTTATCAGTGTGGGCATAGAAATGGATGGGATGTGGATGTGGTTTGATTGCCTGTACATCCTTTGACACACACTGCCCTCCTTCATCTTGTCCTTCAGCATAATGGCTTGGCCCCCAGCTGGGCAGGTCCTTTGAAAAAGCAGACTGTGTGCCATCCACCCTTTGAGAACAGAAGGTTGAAGTGCTAGCTGAATTCTAGGGTCTCCCTTTAATGTCCACAGGCGTAGAGCTGCTTTGCGACAGAGATGTAGATATGGCAACTCGCGTCCAGGACCTGCTGGAGTTTCTTCATGAAAAACAGCAGGAATTGGATTTAGCCGCAGAGCAGCATCGGAAACACCTGGAACAGTGCGTGCAGCTGCGCCACCTGCAGGCAGAAGTGAAGCAGGTGAGCAAACGACTGGATGCTTGGAGAGGCTGCGCTACAGACACTTACAGCTCATGGACTTCCTGGGAATTCTCACCTGTAGCACTGGGGAAAATTGTTCCTGCTCAGAACACAGCTGTCCTTAATATGTAAGATACACACACACACACACACACACACACACACACACACACCCCCCATTACAGCCATCTGTGTTGTGTGAAAAGGGAGCCATTGGCCAGGATAGCTAGATGGCTGTTCACCCAGCTTGTGCAGTTCTTCAAGGTAACAGCTCTTGGCTTCCTTTGATATTGGTAATCTGTCTCTTACTTGAAACTGTGAGCATATTCTTATTTGACTTTTTCTGCCAAATACTGTTACAATCTAGACTGTTTCTCAGACTCCATATGCCTGGGGCATTTATTGTATTATCAAGATACTGTAATACCACATCCTGATGGCATGACAAAGTGAAAATGGGACATGGGGAAGGGATTGCTTTTGCCTCAGTGCCAGTGGGTTGTTATGCATGGACATGACATTTTATTAACTGGCTTGATGGAGGGAGAGAGCAGCTTATGGTGCTCCGAAAGATGCAGAGAAAGCAAACAAAGTTGGTTTGGTTGCAGGGGACTTAAGATGTCACTGGACCATAAGCAGGATGTGGTGTAGATGTAGGTGACACTCACATCAGAGCAGGTAGACTCTTCATCAGAATTGTTTAGAAGAGCACCTTTTGGTGTCCCACTTGCCATCTGTAGTGTGGATATTTTTACATATAAATAAGTGTTGTGTGTGGGTAACACTCCCCATGGGCACCGAGGAAGGAGAACTGTCCAGACCCCAGGCACAACCAGTTCCTGAAGAATATCTCAGTTTATAGTGTTATCGCTCAGCTGTTTCCTTTGTATAATCCTTCATATATAATCGTATGTTAGTTTAGAATTCGTGCTTGAAGTGTAACGTACCGCTTACATATATCTAGTATACTTAGGTCTATATAATGTTTCTATATAATCATATAGGTATTGTAGTCATAGTTGTACTGGCACATTTAGTGCTGATTTATATAATCATTCTATATAACCATATAGTTGTATGTAGTAGGAGGAATGCCTAGAGCAGTCACAGAACAGAAGCAGTACATGGGAAAACAGCCAGACCAGGATGAGAACCAAAGACCCAGGTGGTGGCGTCCCTGCCTGAAAGGGCATACACTGTATGGCAGGCTTGGAGCAAGTGCCTCTCCTCCTGATAAAGAAGTTGTGGTACCTTGCATCCAGTTCCTGTGGAATGTAGGCCTCAGGCCTGATATCCTGGAAGTAACTGAGGGAGAAGAACCCCTCTGGTGTGACCAGTCACAGCGGCTGTACACCCTGTCAGTCTTTTCTCTCTTCTGTGCTACCTCAAAGAATCCTCCCATAAATATCTTAAGAGCACAAGTCTGTCCGCTCCCACTACATTAAGCTTACAGTATCCTTCTATTAGAAATCCTTTGAAGTCTCCAGCCCCCAAATAAGAAGTGTTGCACACGACACCTGTTGCACACAGCCCACTTCCTTGCCTCAGTGACCCAATGGGGGTGGACCCCTATTCTGTACATGACCCTCTACTGCCATGCACAGCCCACCTCTCTGCCCAGGTGACATAATGGGGTGGTCACTCACGTGATTATGTATGCCCTATTACTAAGTCTATATATGATGACCTCACTCACGACCCTGCCCCCTGCTTGTACCTAATAAATACAGATGCTCTTGGGCATTTGGGGGCTACCGCTGATCTCTGCTCACAGGTGGTGTGGCTCCCCGAGTCCAGATGCTCTTCACCAGTTCTTCAGTGTCCTGTCTCTTTACCTCTTGGATCCTGCACCTCAACACAGCATAAGGGACACCTCACGACCTTGTGGGGCCACTACAGCCCTACAGTTGTGACCTGCTAATAAAGTGCTCCTTCTTGCCAAAACACAAAACTATTTATTTAATAAGTAAAGGAATAAATACATGTTTCCCTTAGGTTTCACCTTTGACTATCACAGAGCCTAAAAAATAATGGCTTTAAAAAGGTGTTTTTCCCATGTAATGACTCAGGATATATAGAAGATTGCTAGTGTCCATTTAGTGGTCCTGTGGTGCATTAGGCTGAGATCTTGGTGATGGGCAGCCTTTCTCTTCTGGTTGCCAAATGGCTGTCATAGCTCCAGCCATTGCCTCCATATCCCAAGTATGAGGAAGGGGAACACATAATGAGAACTAGTCAGCCCCTCTATCAGAAAAGAAAGATTTTCACAGACTTCTGCAGAGACTCCTGCTTTGATCTCATTGGCTAGACTTGTACATTACTGTAGCCAGGCTGTAACAGGAGCTGATAAGGGGTTTTATTGCTTAAGCCCTCTCTCAATGTTGGGGTTTTACTTAGAAAACCCCAGCCACAGAAGTGGTTTTATTGTTTAAGCCTGCTCTCAAAAGTTGGGGTTTTACTTAGTTTTTCTAAGTAAAGCCCCAACTTTGGGAGAGGGTACTTCTGTGCTAAATGAGGAGAATAGGTGTCTCATAGGTTACCTGAGGTCTCTGCCACACCTGGCTCTCCAGAACTCCCACAGTCTCTGAGAGTGTGTGCAGTTGAGAAGCTCATGGCTTGAACCCTGTCATTGTAGCATAATATAATTCATAACTTGGTTATTATGCCATTCAACACTACAGTTAAATTGGAAAATGAGTCAATGAATAAATTAGTACCCCTCTTTCCAAGCAGTTGCAAATTTTTCAGTCCTGAAAATACTGAAAAAATGCTTTTCTTGATTATCAGGGAATTCTTCGTGTCAGTAGGTCTTCTAAAATGTCGTCCTTAATCTATTTTGACTTGTGGACTAATATTAACAATTTGCTGGACCTTCTACCTTTTTATTTCCCATTTGTTACCAAAAATAACAGAACTAATTAAAAATTTGCAGCACTTGCGATCAGATACCATGGAAGAAAATCAGGCTGTTGCCAGGAGGATAATAAAGGCATCAGTGCCTTGTACCTGCCAGGAGCAGCTGGACCGCCTTGCACGCTGATATTTCATCCCTGGTGGTCCACAGGATTCTCTGGAAAGTCCACTGCTTGGAGTTACCCTGTGTCATGTTTCAGGTGCTGGGTTGGATCCGCAACGGAGAGTCCATGTTAAATGCCGGACTTATCACAGCCAGCTCGTTACAAGAGGCTGAGCAGCTCCAGCGAGAGCACGAGCAGTTCCAGCATGCCATCGAGGTAAGGGCGCTGGGCCTCTCTGTGCATTGGCTCTTTCATTCCTCAGGACAAATGTCCTAAATCCCCCTACATGGCACTGACCATGGGAGCCACTCAGGGCCAGATTGGTAAAGACGACTCAGAGGACCCCCATTGACAGTGCTTCTAAGTCTGCAGTTGATTGCAGGAGAAGGAAGCATTGTGGCGCCACAGCTGAGGTGAGGATGTGCGTCCCAGCCAGATAGCCTCACTGCAGGGCTCCCAAGGGGCTTGGAGGCCAAGGGGGTTCCTGTTGTTCTCCTGTTGTAGGGACCCTGGCAAGATACACTTTCTCAGATCTGGAATAGCTCAGAACCAAGGAGCTCAAATTGCAGCCTCCGCTGAGGTTTTCTAGTATCTTGCTGGTCTTGTAAACACGTTTCTGCTGTGTTACCAGCGTCAACCAAGCAGAGAGCTCATCAAGTCCAGGTGTGGATCACAAATTCACTATCGGTCAGTAAACGATGCCGACAGGAAATCTCCTCAGATTCCTACTTAAAAGCAGCCTTGTTCACCTTGACTAGGGTCACTGCCATGCCAAAACTGGAGCAAGCAAAACGACCCAGGCCATTTCCAGGTCTGATCTAATTCACTGTCAGCATGTGGACTAATTATTTCTAGTTTTTTGGTAGGGATAGTGGCGAGGTAATGTCAAAGAAGAAAAAAACATATGATGACAGAAATGTTTTCTCCTGCTCTGCTCAAAGACATGTTGTCAGCCAGAGAAGAAAACTATAGACCTTACCACTGACTCATTCCCTAGATTAATTTATTGTCCACTACTTGGTGCCATTGTACACACATTAACACTTCTTCCTGAGGCGCAAACTCTGGGCATGTGTATACTGTGCCAGGGATTTCTAGTAATTAAATTGCAAGTAATAAATCACTGTGTCTGGGTGAAGGATTAGAATATATTGTATATAGTGTTTTATGGGATCATTTGTACTTTTCCAGGTGAAATGAAAGGTTTTGCTATTTTTTTTTTTTAAATCTGTGTCCTTAGAGACCGTGGCCTCCATGACCACCCCCTCCCTTAGCTCCAGGGCCTCACCAGACAGAAGCTGACCTCTCAGCCCATCCTGGATCTTCTAATGAGGACAGATGAGCAAAATCGTGCTGCATTTGCCATGCCATTTGCATAGATGTATCAGATGGCATTGACTTCCAGAGAACACAGTTGTTTCATTCTTAGCTTTTTATTAGTTTTCTCTCTCCTTTTTAAAATCAATAGTTCTTGAAAACTTTTCAGTAGAGTCCAAAGTTTAAGTTGCAAGTAAAAATAAGCCTTCACTCTGGCCACCTTTTTTCTACTTGTTCATTTGCTTCCAGCAGCTGTTTTGAGAAGGATCAATAGGAACAATAAACTTGGAACATTTCAGCTGCTTCTTTGGCTGTTAAGGGTCTTTCCGGCTATTTCTCAGGCTGAGAACCCTACAGCTGAGACCCATTTGGGAGGTCTTGATGCATTTCATCCTTCATTAGCTAATTTAAATACAGACTTAGTTGTTTCTGGGCAGAAATCCTTTTTTACTAAACTGTCTGCTGTGCTTTTAGAAGCATCCTAGTTAGTATTGGCTGAAGGGGTTTTCACAGAATCATGAAGAACAGAGTAACTGTAGCCATCCTGGTTCCTTTCTAGTCAGTGGAGACACCCTGACAGATAAGCCTTCCCCTTTCTTTTCTGTCTCTAGAAAACACATCAGAGTGCGCTGCAGGTGCAGCAGAAGGCGGAAGCCATGCTACAGGCCAACCACTACGACATGGACATGATCCGGGACTGCGCCGAGAAGGTGGCGTCACACTGGCAGCAGCTCATGCTCAAGATGGAAGATCGCCTCAAGCTCGTCAATGCCTCTGTCGCTTTCTACAAAACCTCAGAGCAGGTTGGGGGGAGGTTTCCTTCCTTCCTTGAACTCCCCACTGATACTTAGAGCTTAATTTATTGGACGACTCAATTGTTGTTAACATGTCACTTGTTATCAAACCAGTCATTTGCAAGTCAGGCAGGGAAAAGGCATTCTTGAATTGAAATTATTCCTGCTTAGCTTCGATGTCAATAATAAGCTAGAAGGTAGCTAAGAAGACACCTCTCTTTGCCATTTAAACATATGACCTGAAACACATCAGAGAGAGACAGGCTATTTGCTTTGGTTTTATTCTTGCTCTGAAGGGTCTGCCTGCTTTTGACCTTGTACTTGTCCTCCAGCCAGACAGAGCCATGACTCCTTTTTTTTTTTTTTTTTTAAACGGAGTCTTGCTCTGTTTACCCAGGCGGGAGTGCAGTGGTGTAATCTCGGCTCACTGCAACCTCTGCTTCCCAGGTTCAAGCAATTCTCTTGCCTTAGCTTCCTGAGTAGCTGGAATCACAGGTGCCCGCCATCACACCCGGCTAATTTTGGTATTTTTAGTAGAGACGGGGTTTTACCATGTTGGCCAGGTTGGTCTCAAATTCCTGACCTCGTGATCCACCTGCCTTGGCCTCCTAAAGTGCTGGGATTACAGGTGTTAGCCACCATGCCTGGTCCATGGCTCCCTCTTTTTGTTTTGATCCTTCTGACAGCACCTTCATCCTCAGCCCGACTGAAAGGGCTTTCCAGAGATACCAATCGGCAATGGCAGATGCCAAGGCTGAGCCTCAAACTGTTCCTGTTCACAGGTCTGCAGCGTCCTTGAGAGCCTGGAACAGGAGTATAAGAGAGAAGAAGACTGGTGTGGCGGGGCTGATAAGCTGGGCCCCAACTCCGAGACGGACCATGTGACGCCCATGATCAGCAAGCACCTGGAGCAGAAGGAGGCATTCCTGAAGGTATGGGCAGCACCTGCCTGCCAGGTGTGCGCGGCACCGTCTTCACTTCCCAAGGGATCCCCTACCCGCTGGCTCTTGCCTGCCGTGGAATGTAATGGGGACAGTGTTACATCAGTGAGAAGTCAACCGAAGAAAGAAAACCTTAAAATCTTTTTTATATATGATTGCCCTTTCTTTCTAGTTTTCACAGGGGAATAGCTAAAACTGACAAATAAGGATTGGTTGAAAGTCACAATACCAAGTGATTATGGATACAGAGTGATTGATTGGTTGATTGATTTGGTGAAAAGAAATAACCTGTAGCTTAAAATAATCTTCCTTTGGGAACTCAGCCCCCTCAATCCCTTTATAGGCAATGAAGATTGTATCTCAGAAAAGGTGTAAGCATGGCGTGGAGTAGACACAGGGTGGGTGCGCCACACGGCTTGTGGTGGCAATCACTGATACCTACTCAGGAAATGCTTCCAACAGGAGAGGTGTGTCACATGCAGACCAAGCTGGGAGTTTTCTCTCTGAGAATCTTTAAATGAGGAATTTTTCAAGATTGCTTTGTGTTGGTTTTTTTTTTTTCAATTTGGAGAAAAGGTCCCAGTCTGTCACCCAGGCCGTAGTGCAGTAGTGCAATCATGGCTCTCTGAAGCCTTGAACTTCCTCGGCTTAAGCGATCCTCCCACCTCGGCCTCCCAAGTAGCTGGGACTACAGTGCTCTGTCCTATTTTTTTATATGTCACAGTTAGTCATACCTGGTCACAGATATGCTTTCGAACAGCTAAATTTTTCACGGTAGTTGAAACATTTAGGAATATTTGGTGCTGAATGTCCCATGTTGTATTCTTGGGCCCTTGAAGAACTTCTGAGGTTCTGCTTGTTACCACCACCCAGACCCATTAAGAGGTGGTGTGGTGGTCGCTTTTCCTCTTTACCTGTCTCATTGCTTCAGCCTTCTCGCCTCTGACTCTTTCCTCTTACACTTAACACTTTTTGTTTTTTTCTGAAGTCCATCATCTGACAGAATTACTGGGTTTTTTTTTTTTCGTTCTTCTTCAGAAAGAACAGAATTATTGTTTAGCCTGGGAGAATAAATTATAACTCTTTGAAAATTATATCTGGTCACTTATTAAGCAAGCTCCCGGGGTGAGAAAACCATCAGTTTCCAGGGTCATTCATTATAACTATGTCAACACCTTTTTAAAGCCCCTCCCCCAACATGTCCCGGCTGCGTAAGTTTACTCAGTGCTGACCACTGTTAGGATTTCGAAGTGAAATCATTATAATTTGCCCCCCCCACCGTGTCCAGGATCCATTTAGTATGAAAGAAAAATGAAAGCCACTTCATTCATATAGTAAGGGTAGCTATTTAGGTAAAATTACAAAACAAAAATATAGGCGGTCCTCAAGTTATGATGGTTTGACTTGTGATTTTTTGACTTTCATTGGTGCCAGTGCACTGTGCATGCAGTTGAACCTGTACGTCAAATGCTGTACAGCCGTTGGTTTTTACTTGCAGTGTAGCATTCTATCAATTACATGAGATAGTCAACATGGATTATAAAATAGACTTTGTTTTAGACGATTTTGCCCAACTGTAGGCTTCAACCAAGCACATTTAAGGTAACTAAGCTAAGTTAAGCTGTGGTGTTGAGTAGATGAGGTGCATTAAACTCATTTTTCACTTATGATATTTTGAACTTACAATGGGTTTATCAGTGTAAGTCAAGGAGCATCTGTAATCACAAGGCTTTTTGGATCCCTTTGTTCAACTAGAATTTTGTGGTGATTTTATTACGGAAATTTAAAGATAGATACAAGAGCAGAGAGCGTGGATGCTCCTCGTGTTTTACTCCTCACCCAGCTTCACTGATTATCAGTGTATGGGCATATATCCACCTTCAGTGGATTATTTACAATTCTAAATACATCGTTTTATTTGTGATGAACATTAAATTCTCCCTTTCAGAAATACAAATATATTATCATTATATCTTAAAATTAATAGTAATTCTTTAATTAGCTGAAATTCAGCATTGTTAAACATTTTTCTGATTGTTCTATACATGCCTTTTTGTTTTTTTTTTTGAGATGGGGTTTTGCTTTGCCACCCAAGCCTGGAGTGCACTGATGTGATCATAGCCCACTGCAGCCTTAGATGCCTGGCTTAAGTGACTGTCCCACCACCTCCCAAGTTCCTAGGGCTACAGGCACTTGCCACCATACCTGGCTAATTTTTTTTTTTTTTTTTTGTAGTGACAGGGTCTCTTTATGTTGTCCAGACTGGTCTCAAACTCCTGGGCTCAAGGGATCCTTCTTCCTTGGCCTCCCAAAGTATTGGGATTGCAGGCATGAGTCCCCACACCTGGCCTATAAATGTCTTTTTATACTGGTTTTAATTAAGATTCAGACAGGGCCCACATATTGATTTGGTTGGGCATGTCTTTTGAATCACTTTTAATCTAAACTGCACTCCCCCTTTATTATTTATTAATTGGAGAAATAGGTTTCTTAGATTGTGGCATATTCCCCATTCCAGACTGATAATTGCATCCTGTGGAGTCATTTAGCACCATCTACAATTGCTAGATTTTTGTTAGGTTGTGAACCTTGATTACAGCTGGTTTGAAAAAGAGAGAGGGGAAGAGAGAAAAAGAGAGACCAAGAGGGAGTGTGTGAGTGTATGTGCACGCGTGCAAGGAAAACCTTGCCAGTTGTGCTTGTACTTTTTATGGGGTTACACAGGAGACACATAATGTGTAGTTCTTTCTTTTGACTCTGGCTGGTAAGGAAATTGATCAGTGGCTCAAGTATGGTGAGTGCAGTTCATCCTCTGTACTTCCCATTAGATTTTCAGCTAATGGTGTTAGCCAGTGATGATACTATTTTTTGGAATTACAAAATGATGATACTCTAATTCTATCATTTCCTTTGGCCTCAATTAGCTAGAATTATTCCCTCTCAGCTATTTGGTTACTCTAAAATAGAATGTGCCCAGAAAAGGCAGAGTAAATGCTTTCTTGATCCTTTTTCTTTATTTGCCATATTCAGATAATGAATTGTTGCCATAGCAACTGTTACATATGACTTTTTTTAGTATCATCATGGATTTAAATATATTTGGTGTGTTTCAAAGCAGTCACTGTCACTTATCTTTTGACATTCAGCTTGTCCTATCCTTAGGAGCCTTTTCTTTTTTTTTTTTTTTTTTTTAATTTTTTATTGGATTATAGGTTTTGGGGTACATGAGCAGAGCATGCAAGACAGTTGCGTAGGTACACACATGGCAGTGTGCTTTGCTTTTCTTCTCCCCTTCACCCACATTTGGCATTTCTCCCCAGGCTATCCCTCCCCACCTCCCCCTCCCACTGGCCCTCCCCTTTTCCCCCCAATAGACCCCCGTGTTTAGTACTCCCCTTTCTGTGTCCATGTGTTCTCATTTTTCATCACCCACCTATGAGTGAGAATATGCGGTGTTTCATTTTCTGTTCTTGTGTCAGTTTGCTGAGGATGATGTTCTCCAGATTCATCCATGTCCCTACAAACGACACGAACTCATCATTTCTGATTGCTGCATAATATTCCATGGTGTATATGTGCCACATTTTTCCAATCCAGTCTATTATCAATGGGCATTTGGGTTGATTCCAGGTCTTTGCTATTGTAAACAGTGCTGCAATGAACATTCGTGTACATGTGTCCTTATAGTAGAACGATTTATAGTCTTTTGGATATATACCCAGTAATGGGATTGCTGGGTCAAATGGAATTTCTATTTCTAAGGCCTTGAGGAATCGCCACACTGTCTTCCACAATGGTTGAACTAATTTACACTCCCACCAACAGTGTAAAAGTGTTCCTTTTTCTCCACATCCTCTCCAGCACCTGTTGTCTCCAGATTTTTTAATGATCGCCATTCTAACTGGCGTGAGATGGTATCTCAATGTGGTTTTGATTTGCATCTCTCTGATGACCAGTGACGATGAGCATTTTTTCATATGATTGTTGGCCTCATATATGTCTTCTTTCGTAAAGTATCTGTTCATATCCTTTGCCCACTTTTGAATGGGCTTGTTTTTTTCCTGTAAATCTGCTTGAGTTGTTTGTAAATTCTGGATATCAGCCCTTTGTCAGATGGGTAGACTGCGAAAATTTTTTCCCATTCTGTTGGTTGCCGATCCACTCTAGTGACTGTTTCTTTTGCCGTGCAGAAGCTGTGGAGTTTCATTAGGTCCCATTTGTCTATTTTGGCTTTTGTTGCCAATGCTCTTGGTGTTTTGTTCATGAAGTCCTTGCCTACTCCTATGTCCCGGATAGTTTTGCCTAGATTTCCTTCTAGGGTTTTTATGGTGCCAGGTCTTATGTTTAAGTCTTTAATCCATCTGGAGTTAACTTTAGTGTAAGGTGTCAGGAAGGGGTCCAGTTTCTGCTTTCTGCACATGGCTAGCCAGTTTTCCCAACACCATTTGTTAAACATGGAATCCTTGCCCCATTGCTTGTTTTTGTCAGGTTTATCAAAGATTGTATAGTTGTATGTATGTTGTGTTGCCTCCGGTGCCTCTGTTTTGTTCCATTGGTCTATATCTCTGTTTTGGTACCAGTACCATGCTGTTTTGATTACTGTAGCCTTGTAGTATACTTTGAAATCCGGTAGTGTGATGCCCCCCACTGTGTTCTTTTTGCTTAGAATTGACTTGGCTATGCGGGCTCTCTTTTGGTTCCATATGAAGTTCATGGTGGTTTTTTCCAGTTCTGTGAAGAAAGTCAATGGTAGCTTGATGGGGATAGCGTTGATTCTGTCAATTACTTTGGGCAGTATAGCCATTTTCACGATATTAATTCTTCCTAACCATGAACATGGAATGTTTCTCCATCTGTTTGTGTCCTCTCTGATTTCGTTGAGCAGTGGTTTGTAGTTCTCCTTGAAGAGGTCCCTTACGTTCCTTGTGAGTTGTATTCCAAGGTATTTTATTCTTTTTGTAGCAATTGCGAATGGCAGTTCGCTCTTGATTTGGCTTTCTGTAAGTCTGTTATTGGTGTAGACGAATGCTTGTGATTTTTGCACATTGATTTTATATCCTGAGACTTTGCTGAAGTTGTTTATCAGTTTCAGGAGTTTTTGGGCTGAGGCAATGGGGTCTTCTAGGTATACTATCATGTCGTCTGCAAATAGAGACAATTTGGCTTCCACCTTTCCTATCTGAATACCCTTTATTTCTTTTTCTTGCCTGATTGCTCTGGCTAGAACTTCCAGAACTATATTGAATAGGAGTGGTGAGAGAGGGCATCCTTGTCTAGTGCCAGATTTCAAAGGGAATGCTTCCAGTTTTTTCCCATTCAGTATGATATTGGCTGTTGGTTTGTCATAAATAGCTTTTATTACTTTGAGATACGTTCCATCGATAGCGAGTTTATTGAGGGTTTTTAGCATAAAGGGCTGTTGAATTTTGTCAAATGCCTTCTCTGCGTCAATTGAGATAATCATGTGGTTTTTGTTTTTGGTTCTGTTTATGTGGTGAATTACGTTGATAGACTTGCGTATGTTGAACCAGCCTTGCATCCCCGGGATGAATCCTACTTGATCATGATGAATAAGTTTTTTGATTTGCTGTTGCAATCGGCTTGCCAATATTTTATTGAAGATTTTTGCATCTATGTTCATCATGGATATTGGCCTGAAGTTTTCTTTTCTCGTTGGGTTTCTGCCGGGTTTTGGTATCAGGATGATGTTGGTCTCATAAAATGATTTGGGAAGGATTCCCTCTTTTTGGATTGTTTGAAATAGTTTTAGAAGGAATGGTACCAGCTCCTCCTTGTGTGTCTGGTAGAATTCAGCTGTGAACCCGTCTGGACCTGGGCTTTTTTTGTGAGGTAGGCTCTTAATTGCTGCCTCGACTTCAGACCTTGTTATTGGTCTATTCATAGTTTCAGCTTCCTCCTGGTTTAGGCTTGGGAGGACACAGGAGTCCAGGAATTTGTCCATTTCTTCCAGGGTTACTAGTTTATGCGCATATAGTTGTTTGTAATATTCTCTGATGATGGTTTGAATTTCTGTGGAATCTGTGGTGATTTCCCCTTTATCATTTTTTATTGCATCTATTTGTTTGTTCTCTCTTTTATTTTTAATCAATCTGGCTAGTGGTCTGTCTATTTTGTTGATCTTTTCAAAAAACCAGCTCTTGGATTTATTGATTTTTTGAAGGGTTTTTCGTGTCTCAATCTCCTTCAGCTCAGCTCTGATCTTAGTAATTTCTTGTCTTCTGCTGGGTTTTGAGTTTTTTTGATCTTGCTCCTCTAGCTCTTTCAATTTTGACGATAGGGTGTCAATTTTGGATCTCTCCATTCTCCTCATATGGGCACTTATTGCTATATACTTTCCTCTAGAGACTGCTTTAAATGTGTCCCAGAGGTTCTGGCACGTTGTGTCTTCGTTCTCATTGGTTTCGAAGAACTTCTTTATTTCTGCCTTCATTTCGTTGTTTACCCAGTCAACATTCAAGAGCCAGTTGTTCAGTTTCCATGAAGCTGTGCGGTTCTGGGTCGGTTTCTGAATTCTGAGTTCTAACTTGATTGCACTATGGTCTGAGAGGCTGTTTGTTATGATTTCAGTTGTTTTGCATTTGTTGAGCAGTGCTTTACTTCCAATTATGTGGTCAATTTTAGAGTAGGTGTGATGTGGTGCTGAGAAGAATGTGTATTCTGTGGATTTGGGGTGGAGAGTTCTGTAAATGTCCACCAGGTTTGCTTGAGGAGCCTTTTCAAGGCAGCTGCTAGGCTGTCTTTAGCCATCACCCTCATAGTCTTCAGCATCTTCCTTGTTTGGTTTGACAGTGTATTAGTCCATTCTCAGTGCTGCTATGAAGAAATACCTGACACTGGATGATCTATAAAAGAACAAGGTTTAATTGACGTACAGTTCTGCAGGACTGGGGAGGCCTCAGAAAACTTACAGTCACTGTGGAAGGGGAAGCAAACATGTCCTTCTTCACATGGCGCAGGAAGGAGAAGAAAGAGAGAAGTGCAGGGCAAGGCAGGGAAAAGCCCTTCACAAAACCATCAGATCTTGTGAGGACTCACTCACTGTCACAAGAACAGCATGGGAGACCACCACCAGGATTTAGTCACCTCCAGCAAGGTTTTTCCCCCTACCTATACACATGGGGATTACAATGCCAGATGACATTTGGGTGGGAACACAGAGCAGACCATATCAGACAACTTGAAATTTCACATGGATCAGTAGAGACCCATGTTGTGTTTTTCTCATAATTGCAAAAAAAGATAGCCTAGCTCCATCTGCTGGAAAAGTCTGGAAACAGTGACCAACCCAAAAGTCCCGATCATCCTGAATGACTAGACTGTGGTCTCTAAATACCATTTACCACTAGAGGGAGCTAGAGCTCCTTAACGAAAGATTAATTCCAGACCCAAGATGGGAAATATACAAGATGTTTCTAATTCAAATATTGACAAGTTTGTTTCCTTACCTTCTTGATTTTATATTTGTATCCTTTAATATAAAACCCTTATTTTAAAATATGAATGAAACTGGTTTGGTTTATCCTGCTGCATAAACATAAACACATATTGTCAGTTACCTGTTACCAAAATAACATCACGTAACAAAGTACCCCAAAACTCAGTGGCTTCGACCGGGGTTGGCAGTCTGTGAACTGAGGGCTCAGTTGGACCACATCAATGTAGTTTACCTGTCACCTGTGGCTGCTTTCATCGGTTGTTGGTTTGAGTAGTTGTGACTGAGAAACAGACTATGACGCCCCCAAAACTGAAAATGTTTACTGTCTGCCCTGTGTAGAAATCCAGGCACAGCCTAGCTGAGTTCTGTGGCTCAAGGTCTCTCCTCAGGCTGTGATCCAGGTGTGTAAACCTCTCCAGGCTTCCCTTCCTCTGTGACCATAAGCCAGTGGCTGCCCTCCGTCCACTGCCCCATGGGCCTCTCTATAGGGCAGAATATAGCAGCGGTTGTCATCAGAGCGAGGGCTTCAGGAGAGAGAGATTTTTTTTTTTTTAATTGAAATAGGTTTTATCCTATGCATTTTCCAAACCAGAAGGTGGCCAGATAAATGTTTTAGGCAAAGATATGTTAGAGCCAAGTGATGTGTACTCCAGACACATGTTTTGTAGAAGTCAAACTAGCAGCACATTGCTCTCCATTGTGTTTTAGGCTTGCACCCTTGCTCGGAGGAATGCAGATGTCTTCCTGAAATACCTGCACAGGAACAGTGTGAACATGCCAGGAATGGTGACGCACATCAAAGCTCCTGAGCAGCAAGTGAAAAGTGAGTAGAGCTGGGACTTCCCGGGGGCGGCCCGATGCATCCCTGGCAAGAGACGGAGGGAGCTTGCTTGATGTGTTCTGAACTCTCAATCTCAGTTTCATTTCTTTTTTTTTTTTTTTTTTTTCCCCGAGATGGAGTTTCGCTCTTGTTACCCAGGCTGGAGTGCAATGGTGCCATCTCGGCTCACCGCAACCTCCGCCTCATGGGTTCAGGCAATTCTCCTGCCTCAGCCTCCTGAGTAGCTGGGATTACAGGCACGCGCCACCATGCCCAGCTAATTTTTTGTATTTTTAGTAGAGACGGGGTTTCACCATGTTGACCAGGATGGTCTCGATCTCTTGACCTCGTGATCCACCCGCCTCGGCCTCCCAAAGTGCTGGGATTACAGGTGTGAGCCACCGTGCTCGGCCCCTCAGTTTCATTTCAAATGTGCATTTCATGTTAATGAAGTCCTTACTAATAACCTTAGTTTAATAATAAAATATTAAACAAATGTATAGGCTGATAATATATTGAATAGGTTGATAGTTTATTGAACAATCTGAAGAATATAAACAGGGAGAAAATGCAGATTTTTATGATGATATGATTTTTATGATGATATTTACTGCCGCTGGCTATTTTGTTAGAGTAAGTGAAAAATATTATAGATGGAGGAAAAGAAAAACCAGAGTTACCTATAGGCAAAGTATTTTTAAAAGCTCAAGTCGAAAATTACATCCCGATTTTATCACTGTAAAGTGTTATCAATTTTGTATACCTAAGGCATAGTTAATAAAAACTAATTAAAAATAATAGTATATAGCTTATATCATTTGAGTATAAAAACCTATGAAACCATATTTGTGTGTGTGTGTGTATATATGTAAGTGCATAGAAAAAGGTCTGGGAAAATGTGTAATAGGATGATGTGGACAGGAAAACGGATAAAGCAACTAAGGCACAAATCGAATAACTACTTTGACCAGGGTTACACAGCCTAAGTTGAGTTTTATAGGGAAAAAGTTGTGATGATGAGTTAACAAATGATTCATCTCATACATTTCAAAACAATATGATTAACAAAAACTTTCTGCCTTATATTTTACTGTCAGCTCATCTGATTCACCTATTAGTTGTCACAAAATCATTTTGTTAACACTACTGTAAATCTTTATCAGTGAAACGTATTTACTGATTGTTGAGTTTTTTCTTCTAAAGAAAATGTATAACTCACAAAAGTAATTATTTTTCTACATGAGTAAGTCTGATCATTGGTTTACTTGGCTCATGTCCTATAAAAGTGATTTCCTTTCTTCCATCTCTCAATATTGATTTTATTTGTTGATTGTGTCCTGTCATTTCTGATGGAAGATATTGTGGTCCTTTCTAGGTTGTGCTAGTTTGACACACGTTTCTGTGTGAGAGGGAGACTGTGTTTCATTTATTCCCTCATTAGATCTTCATTGTACCTTTGCTGTTGTATATCCTAATGGTGGATGCTGTGAAGAATTAAGTGTTCTGTTTCCCTCAGAGCCTACTTGGGGAGTGAAAGGTTTATTTATGCTCGAGTCAGTGCACTAAGCTCCTGTAAGAGTAATGGTGGCAGAAAAGACAATATTACCCTAAGGCACAGGCAAGGAAGAGTCTCAGACCACGTAGTCAGAGGACCAGGAGCTTGAGGAAGCCCCAAATCCAAGAGGGCACTTAGCACTGTTTGCTGCTCACTTGCCCAAAATTAGCACTGGCTCAGGCAGAGACGTGGAAATGAGAGACTAGAAAAAAAACCTATTGGCTTGTATTCATTTTCATGTGCAATTTTTTTCATGTAAATGATAGCTTAATTTTTTAGCAGACTTCAGATTTCAAAGTTTTAATTTATTTCACTAAACTAGTTTACCTCTTCAGTGGAGTAAAAATGACAGCGTTACCACTGGTCCCTGGGGGATAGTTGGCAATGTCTGAAGAATTTTTGATTGCCATCAAAAATGATGACACCGTATTGTCACCATAAGAATATGGTGGAATTTGGGATGATAATGGTAGAGATGGAGAAAAGTCAATAAATTGGGGGTTCATTTTAGAGGCAGTATTGAGAGAGTCTGTTGTTAGGCTGGATGTAAATGCTTCTCTTCCATTCTTATCACTAAGTACAGCCTGCTGGGAACTCAGTAAGTATTTGTGGAAAACTTCCTATTTTAGTGGTTTTCCAACATAATAAAGTTACTAAGAACCATGTATTTGATTTGCAGTTTCAGTCTTGGGAATTTTTTTTAAGTTTTTAGTTTGTTTCATAAACTTGTAGAGCAAAACAGACTTAGGGTCAAAAAGTGTTCAAATGTATATAAGTTACCTAATTCCTTAGCTGCTGGGAACCACTGTCACGACTTTGTGCAAGCTGTCTGTGAATATAAATGTAAATATGTAGAGAAGTATAAACATATATATTCCACTCACCTGGCCCACTTTTTAAATTGTTGCAAAAATGGAACTGTATACCTTGCAATTTGCATCTTTCACTTAATAATATATCTTAGTCATCTTTCTGTGTCAGAATTTAAAGATCTGCTCTTCTTTTTAATACCCAGTATAGCATTTCTGAAATTGATTTGACCTGTCCCTCAATTATGGGTCATACATTGCTTCCCATTTCCCACTGTTCTAACCAGCGCTTCAGTGTTCAAATATCTGAGTACAGTTTTGAATACTTGAGTGAGGACTGTTTGTCTGAAAGATAAATTCCCGGTTAAAAGGTATGCATGAGGCCGGGCGTAGTGGCTCACGCCTGTAATCCTAGCACTTTGGGAGGCCGAGGTGGGTGGATCACCTGAGGTAAGGAGTTCAAGACCAGCCTGGCCATTATAGTGAGACCCCATCTGTAAAAAAAAGGTCTGCATGCTTACTTTCATTATCATTCCCTGGGGCCACACTCAGTTTTTCTCTCTCTGTAAGAGAGGATCATGATGACCTGTTCCCCTTACTCTGTTATCCGTCTGCCAGGAAAGCAGTGAGAGATGTTTTCATTTTTGAGGTTAAGTATGTTCCTGTATATTTTGTTGACTGTATTTTTTAAATGCGAGCTTCATATTTATAGACTTTGCTCATTCTTCCAAAGGGTTTGTTCAGCATTTTTCTGTTGACTACTAAGTAAATTAGGTCTGTGTCTTAAACGTTCCCAATTCTTAAAAAACTTTTTTGTGCAGCAGTTTTTGGTGGTTCTTGTTTGGTTATAACACCTTAAATGTTTGTGTAATAAGGGAGCTTTTTTGCCTTTATAGCTTCATGCTTCTCTACTTCCCTGTTTCATGTCCTTTCCTCTCCGAAGGGGTTATGGTTTTGCGTTTCGGGTTTTTTTTTTTTTAATCCACCTTTGTTGATTATTAGTCCACCATTTTGATACAACTTTTAATCTGTGTAAACTCCATCTACAGAAGGTTTTAATAGTCTTGAAAAAAAATGCGATGTTTTTCAGTGATTGTCGAATTGCATATTATAAAATTGTGCATTATGTCGAATGCGTATTTTAAGATGCCCATATCCCACAAATCCATCCAGCCTGAGGTATTACAGACTGACCTTAAGTTTCCAGTGGTCTCTTTATTGTAAGATGACAAATAAAGGGGAAAGAATGAGAACAGTTCTTCTGGTTGACAGTGTGCTTCTTTATTTATTCTGTCTTGCAAAGACAGAACATTTGGATAAAAGTCTAAATAAAAATGAATGGAATTTTGTGGGTGTTTTAATTGATTGCAAGCACCAGCATACATCCTTTTCTTTTTTCTTTCAGATATCTTGAATGAGCTCTTCCAACGGGAGAACAGGGTATTGCATTATTGGACCATGAGGAAGAGACGGCTGGACCAGTGCCAGCAGTATGTGGTCTTTGAGAGGAGTGCCAAGCAGGTCAGTGTACACCTGGTGCCCAGCCTCCCACAAGTCCCCGTGCTCACACCTCCCTCCACAGAGAGGCCGAGCTTGACATTTCTGCCATCTTGAAAACCACTCTGTAATGACAAATGGTGTTGCCTTTTATTGAGGTCTGTTATAAAAAGAGAACCCCACAGCCCGGTTAAAGTATGTCACTCAGTAATTTTGACCCTCAACAAGTGTGCTTTCCCCTACTGTCTTTACCTCATCTTGAAGACAGCAGTACAAGTAGTCATGATGAGGATTATTGAAAAATCATTGGGGAATCTTGGTTTTGTACTTATGTAAATACAATGGATTTTTAAAAATATTGCTGTATTTATATTTTCAAGACAGTTTTTATTTTTCCTGTAAATCAAACTAAAATTAAGTAAGAAAAATGTGATAGAATTCTTTTCTTTTTCTTTTGTTTGTTTGTTTTTGGTTTTAGTTTTTTTGAAAGTTTTGCTCTTGTTGCCCAGGCTGGAGTGCAATGGCACAGTTTTAGCTCACTGCAACCTCTGCTTCCTGGGTTCAAGTGATTTTCCTGCCTCAGCCTCCCCAGTAGCTGAGATTACAGGCACCCACCACCATGCCTGGGTAATTTTTGTATTTTTAGTGGAAGATGGGGATTCACCATGTTAGCCAGGCTGGTCTTAAACTCTTGACCTCAGGTGATTTGCCTGCCTTGGCCTCCCAAAGTGCAGGGATTACAGGCATGAACCACCATGCCCGGCCCAGAATTTCTGATAATTTGTTGTAGTCAAAAAATGTTGATATATCAAGGGAGTACATTTGGAGTATCCCTTTCTTAAATCGTTTTGGGATAAAGTGCTTCTGCCTGTATCGTCAGTCATGGAAGGAAGATCATTTTAGTGTAAAATCTGACCCCATCTGAAACATTGAGATTTCTTTCACTTCTGTTTGGCCTTAATAGTAGCTTAAGAATTCATAACTTTCATCCAGAATTTGGGGGGTCTGGAAGAAGTACAGTAGAGAAGGTGCATTCCCCCAGCACCTGTGTGCAGCCAGGCCCTAGTCTGGATGTCTTAGAGTCACCAGAGGCCCTACTGTGACGTCAGTTGGTGTTGACCCACATCCTGTCCATGACTCTGACCCGTCTTCTGCATCCAGCTCGCAACCTGATATGCAGCTGATCCAGAGCAGGCATTGGATACATGCTTTTTTGCTCAAGAAAAATTAACTTTCTCAGCAGAGGTTTCCCACTTAAGGAACAGCTTTTGTTCCATTTTGGAAAATGTAAGTCTCGAAGGACGCGGCCCGTGCCCAGAACAGCTGAGTTCCCAGAATTGGATGAACCGGGTTCCTAGGCCAGGGGTCTGGCGCCCACCTCGGCCCTTCTCTCCTCCCTCGACTCTCCAGGTATATAGCCAGTTCAACAGCCAGGTGGCATGCAGTCCCATTTGGTAAATTATACTTGTCTCAACATTTTATTAAAGACAGTTCAACCACATTCAAGATCATTGGAGGTCTGGTTGGATTTCTCATTAGAGATGGTTTTATGTTCTTTTCTTACATATCCATATTATCTCTCCATTGAAACACAAGGAGAGTACCTTCAGGTACAGAGAAGCAAAATTACACATAATTCTCTCGGCAGAGAAAGATAATGGAATGTATCGTTGCATTTTCCTGAAGTCCACTTATTCGCCAAAAATAAAATCCTGAAGTGCGTGCTGTGGCAGGTGGTGCCTGGTCTGCCCTCCAGCCCTTTCTCTTCTGTTCACTGTCACAGTGTGCAGCGAATACCCAGTGCTTCTGCGGACCGTCCTCTAGAGCTCTCGCTGATCTTGCCTTGGCACAGGCCCCTCCCATGTGCCGGCTGCTCGCCCCTGGCCTTGTTACTCTCCTTCCTGTCTCCCCGCTCTGGCCATTGCCTTTCTCGGGGCTCATTTCTGGCTTGTTCTCTTCTGTTTCCTCTTCTATCTCTTTCTGTGTGTTGTTTCCCAGCTCAGGCTTCCATTTCTGGTCTCCAGATTCATAAATCCCAGTTACATCCTTGACATCGCTCCGCAGTGACTTTACCAGAAGCAGGACTACACTCGCAGCTCCCTGTCCCTGTGTCCCTCTTGTCTTTCTTACTGTTAGGAACGACTAGGTGTGGTATTCTCAGTTCCCTCTTCCCCATGCCCCGCCTCCCCCTTCAGTCCTCCTCCTGCACTAGGTCCAGGAGGCGCAGACCTCCGGCTGTCTCAGCTCCATCCCACTCCCCACTGCCCTGGCCTGTCCCCTTGCCCCTCTTGCTCCAGGGCACTCCCCAGGGCAGCTGCTTTCTCTTCTCTCCACTCTAGTCCCTTCTTGAGAAAGGCTTATAGTAGTGGTTTCTTTCATTGTACTTTTATTGTACCTTTAGGTTCATGGTTACAAGAAACTCAACCTTTTTTTTTTTTTTTTGTGGGAGTGTGAATTAGTTCAACCACTGTGGAAAACAGTGTGGTGATTCATCAAAGATCTAGAACCAAAAATACCATTTGACCAAGCAATCCCATTACTGGGTATATACCCAAAGGATTATAAATCATTCTACTAGAAAGACACATGCACACATATGTTTATTGCAGCACTGTTCACAATAGCAAACACTTGAAACCAGTCCAAATGCCCATCAGTGATAGACTGGATAAAGAAAATATGGCACATATACACCACGGAATAACTAAGAAACTCAAACTTTTTATTGTTGCCACGTAAGTGACACAGTTATAACCATCTGGAATATCCTTTTTAAAACTTTTGTAATTGTGATCCAGACTTGAGTTTTATTTCAGAAACTCGTCTCGCTGGGAGGGAATGCTTCTCAGTGCTGCCAGCGTTGGTTTGCGATTTGACCTTTAAATGAGGTGGTCAGGGTGTTGGGCTTCCGTCAGGAATGTTTAGCCCTCTGACTCTGTTCATTCCTTCCCGATCCAGGCTTTGGAATGGATCCATGACAATGGCGAGTTCTACCTTTCCACGCACACCTCCACAGGCTCCAGTATACAGCACACCCAGGAGCTCCTGAAGGAGCACGAGGAGTTCCAGATAACTGCAAAGGTGGGTTCAGAGTGGACTGTGTGTAGTGGCCTCTGAGTCGAACATGAGTCTTTCTCAAAAATATCACTGGGGAAATGGGCTGAGCCTATTAGTTAATGTAAGTGGCCCACATTAACTTGGGGGATGCATCCTCTTGCCGTTCATGTGTGTCCCTCTGTGTCCTCCACCTCCTCCCTTCATCTGTGTCCTTTGTCCCTCTGATTTCCGTGAATACCGCCATCTCTCTCCTGTTCTTCTTTATTCTCATTCCCTTCTGCATTTTCTTCCCCTTCCTGTTTTCTTTTCTAAGGTGTTTTCTGAGCACTTGCTATTTTTGTTAAACACTATTTGGTGTCAAGTTGACCTTTATTCTCGGGGTGTTTTCTTTCCTACACCTGGGGAAAAATTATAAAATCGAATTATCTGTATGGCATATGCTGTATATGTGAGTAAATATGGCTTTTTGAGGAAAGATATAAAAATCCGCATATTGATCTGAATGTTGCCCTAATCAAGGCTTATACCTGCAGAGGCTGAGTCCTTTCGAGAGCTCACAGCAGTTTTGAGACTTTTGTAGACATAGCATCGCAACCTGTGGGGTTTTGTTTTTCACTGTCTTTGAGTATACATCCTTTGTGTTATGTTCTGAAGTGCCTCTATGGTTGATGACAGATTCAAGTTTTTAGAAAAAGCTGACAATTATTTCAAATGTAAGAGTGGGAAATAAATAAGCTGGATAATATTTTGGTTTAAAAAGAAGTGTTTCTATAAAGTAGCAAGAAAAAGAAGTGTTTCTATAAAGTAGCAAGATGGGTTATCTCCTGTGGCCCCTACCCTGGCTTTGAAAACATGACAGGAATTTCTCAATCATTTAGCGAGAGGACAGCTACTTTGTATTATGTTTACTTGTCCATGTTTATGTTTTCTGTTACCATTGCTGACTCCTGCTCTTCTTTGTCACCCTCTGTTCCTGGTCTCCAAAGCTCTCCTTTCCCTCGGCCCTGAGGTGCTGGGCTCTGGGAATACACGGCCCCATCCTAGAGACTTGCACAGGCAAACAGGGCTGCAGAGACACCAGGCATGGGGGGCGCAGCAAGAAGACCCGGCCCAGGGTGGGGGTGTGGTGAGCACTGGGGAAGAGCAGGGCGCAGGACCGCGGGACAGTAGCTGCCTCCAGAGGCACAACAAACACTAAGGAGGGCCAACCCACCTTCCCCTGCAGGAAAGGATCGTGGCTTTTCATCCTCTAGATACACACCTGGCTGGACGGTTTTCATTTTTTGTTAATATTTAGATATTAAATAAGAGTTATGTGCATTATATGGTCTGTATTTAGTGTGTGTGTGTTAGACATGGGATCTTGCTCTGTTGCCCAGGCTGGTGTGCAGTGGCACCATAATGGCTCAGTGCATCCTCAAACTCCTGAGCTCAAGGGATCCTCTTCAGACTCCTGAGCTCAAGGGAGGCTGAGGTGTGAGGATCACTTGAGGCCAGGAGTTTGAGACGAGTCTGGGCAAGATGGCAAGACCCTGTCTCTACAAAAGGAATTTTTTTTAATTAGCTGGGTATGGTGGTGTGTGTGCCTGTAGTCCCGAGCTATGTTTGCTTATTTGAATATCATTTGATTATAAAGATATTAAGAAAATGGCTAACATCACATACCACACTCAGAGCTAGATTTAAGATTTGCTGTGTTTCACCACCGCACCACTCTGCAGGCCATTATGCACAGCCAGACAGCCTGCCCACTGCCCTGCCCCGGGGGCTGTGCATGGGGAATGTGATAGGCACATGATTGTCTGGAATTGAGTAACATGGCAGCCTATCCACTAATAAAGTGTGTATGAAAGAATTTTTCCATTGTTCCTAAATATTCCTTTTCCTCAAGTTTGGTGTGTGGTTTTTGAAACATTGGGCAATGAGAGGCTTATTTTTATTATTGTATTTTATAAGAAATATCTAAAATTGTGAGTGATATATGACCTTTCTGATTCCCAAATATGTAGAACTGTTTCTTTTGTTGGGTTTAATGAATTGGTTATACTAAGTGGTACTGGTAGATTTTGAAACGAACACCCCTCACCTTTCCTTTCCTTAGCAGTCTTTTCCTTTGGTTTCTAACTGTCTTTCTTTTAATCAGAAAACACCTGCTTTGGTGTTTGGAGATGTCCTTTTGATTTTTCATGATGAGCTGAGGCTCTCTCACTTGCCTTCTGTCACCTGATCTTAGAATCTTCTAAAAAACTGTTTTTCTTTTGCTATATAGAGAATTCTTAACTCTGAAAGGATAGTCTTTCAGGGCACTTGTGGCAGTGTTATAACACTTTTAGTGTTGATGGGAATGAAGCTTGAAGGCTAAACAAGAGTCTCCCATCACCATCTCACTGAGACTTGGTTCAGCCCCTTTGCAGGTCTCAGTGCAGTCATTTCTCCATGCGTCTTACAGGCACCACCTGCATCCAGGTTGTGGGTGTTTATTTAAGAGAGATTTCTGTCCTCCCTCCAAACGTAGTGACGTAGGCTGTCTAGGAGTGAGGCCTGAGGATAAGCATTTGAAGAGCCCACCACGTGATTTTTGCACATACACTGAGGTCCGGAAGCCACTGCCTTACTGAGCTGTTCAGGACACAGCCTTCTTCCCACAGGGTTTCCTCCAGCTTTAATCACCAGTGTCCCCGATGCCAAATGCCTTACTTTGTTAGAAAGTGTCTAACACCATTGAATTTCTTACTAACAACATCATGAGCAAAGCTCTCTTAATGAGAGCTTGTGGACTTAAGATTTCAATTTGCTTTTATTTTTCTCCAGTTCCTTGATTATGCCTACAGATGAGGTTGTTCAGTTAAAATATTTATGTGCTTTTTAAGCACTATAACAATCGCTAAAGATAACAAATAGAATAAGAATGAAATTCCTTATAATATCTCACTTTAAAAGATGTAAGAATTTTTTTAAATGATGTTTTTCAAGGCAAATGGCTTTGGAAAAAAATTAAGTTGGATTTATATCTCACCTTGATACCGTGATACAAACCAGAAGAAGATTTAAATACCAGCAGTGGTAACCTAATAGTACCAGAAGAAATAACAGGATTTTTTTATATCCTCATATGGAGAAATTTGTCTAAATGACACAAAATCCAAACCTGTGAAAGAAAAAACTAATAACTTCACCTACACAAAAAATTAAAAACTTTCCACAGGAAACCTCTAAAGATAAAAATCAAATAGAGAAGATATATAGGCAGCTCATATCATAAAGGACTGATTTCCCAGTAGGAAAGAACTTTTAGATATCAGTAAGAAAAAAAGACCAAGAAAATGGACAAAAGATATTAAACATATGTCATAGAAAAGGAATAAATGGGTTTCACCATGAGATTATCAACTTTACTTAATATAAGAACAGCGTAAATCAAAACTACACTGAGTATTTCCCCCAGTGGATTAGCAGAGACCAAAAAGTTGGACCCCTTGCTGCATGGATGAGGCTCAGTTGCTGGGGGAACACTCAGAGGCCTCTGGCAGCATCTTACTGCCTGCTTGAACTGCACTTCCTGTCTGCTCCCACTGTACTTCCTGTCGCCCCAGCAGCACTCAGGTACATGTCTAACCACCGGTCATGCAGCTGATTTCTTGTGTTATTGCCTTGGTAGATGAAATTTGGAAACGACGTGAAGACCTGTTGGCGGAGACACGTTAACTTACGTCCATATAGTTCACATCCATATAGTGAAATATTACACAGCTCTAAACACAGACGAGGACTTTAGTTCTGATCAGGAAGGACAACTAAGACTTGCTCAATAGAAAATACTAATGCAGAGCAGTGTTTGTTGTATGCAAGTTTTTGTGTAAAAAATGTGAGGGAGAAAAATATGTACATTTGTGCACTTGCTTGTACATGCACGTAAAATGTCTCTGAAGTGGTAGCAGGAAGCTGGTGTTTGGAACTGGTGACAGGAAAGGTGGAAGGAGAGGAGTTTTTACTTTGTATCTTTTTTACCTTTGGAATTTTGAATCCTGTGAATGTATTTTTAAAATACCAGTGCAGGTAAAAATATACTGAGATATTTTTAAAGTTCATAGGTTAGCAGATTTATGGTACTTAGTTTTTATCACACATTTCAGTTGCTCAACAATTTTTTTTTACTTTTGGCAAGCTGCATTATCTTTTTTTTTAATCCTCACTTCTATGTTCCCATCACTTAAAACACTAAATAGCTTTCTTAACTCCTCAAAGATGGACTTACAGGTAGCTTACAATGCCCTCCATTGTTCTCTTACAGCAACATAAGAGAGGGCCGGGCGCGGTGGCTCAAGCCTGTAATCCCAGCACTTTGGGAGGCCGAGGCGGGTGGATCACGAGGTCAAGAGATCGAGACCATCCTGGTCAATATGGTGAAACCCCGTCTCTACTAAAAATACAAAAAATTAGCTGGGCATGGTGGCGCGTGCCTGTAGTCCCAGCTACTCAGGAGGCTGAGGCAGGAGAATTGCCTGAACCCAGAAGGCGGAGGTTGCGGTGAGCCAAGATCACGCCATTGCACTCTAGCCTGGGTAACAGGAGCAAAACTCTGTCTCAAAAAAAAAAAAAAAAAGAGATGTTAGTAAGCAAAACAAGCAAATATTTCTGGCCTGTGAAGGTGACATTCTCACAGGAGAAAGACAGTGGCCGGGCATGGTGGCTCACGCCTGTAATCCCAGCACTTTGGGAGGCTGAAGCGGGTGGCTCATAAAGTCAGGAGTTCAAGACCAGCCTGGCCAAGATGGTGAAACCCTGTCTCTACTAAAAATACACACAAAAAAATTAGCCGGGGGTTGGTGGCAGGTGCCTATAATTCCAGCTACTCAGGAGGCTGAGGCAGGGAATTGCTTCAACCTGGGAGGCAGAGGTTGCAGTGAGCTGAGATCACACCACTGCACTCTAGCCTGGGCAACAGAGCATGAGTCCGTCTCAAAAAAAGACAATCACTTGCACCCTCTGTCAGAAGGCCATGCATGCTATGGGAAAAACTAGAGCAAAAGAATAGGCAGGGAGGCAAGCTGTAGTGTAAGGGGTCCAGGGAGGGCCCATTGAGAGAGTGGCCTTTATATGAGTAGAGACATGAAGGAGCCATAAGGATATCTGAGGGAGTGGTATTCCAGGCAGAAGCATCAGTGCAGAGGCCCCAAGGAGGGTGCTGGCCGGGAGGGTGAGTTCGTTAGCCACAGCTAGGGGATAGGGTGGGGGGTGCTGTTGGGTGGCTGGCAGCTGGCTGGGGTATTGGGGTTATTTTTGTAGAATCTGGAGGATCTTGACAGCTGACTTCACAGGTGACCCGGTGATTTATGGCTTAGAACTTTGATTTTACAAGCTAAGATCATTTATCTTGGTTTTTAACTCTGACCTTCTTCCTTTTGGAGATTTTTAAATAAAGTCAGTTTCCTGAATATGTGCTAAAACGATTTTCTAGTTAAAGCTTAACTGAGAAAAGAGGTTTCATAGAAGAGTAAGTCACTTACCTGAAAACACCAGGGGAATGGCCAAGGAAGCCTAATTGTAATAACCATGGAAATGAATGTGAAGAGAGAGAGCTGTTGAGAAGTCAGTCAGAGTTGAGTCATGTTGCTGAATGGTACATAGAACTTGTTTTATGGTTGTCCTTATCTCTGTGGAAAATAATAAATTATGGTTAACTTAATAAAAGATCTTTTCTATGTACATATGAAATGATTTTAAAGCGAGCTCTCAAACAGGGTAACAAAATTTACAAACTTCTGTGTAAATAATTTCCTGACTAGTGAATTTTCTTCTACATTTCCTGAGAGTTAAAAGAAACAATCAACGTGCTGCAGAGGTGCTTCATGAGGAATTTTGTGGAGTGCCTGCTGTGGGGACAGCCTTGGCCACACCAAAAAGTCAGATAGATGGCTGCTTGCCCTGAAAGAGCTGTGGGGCCAGTTGGGCACCAAGAAGAAACATGCAGGGAGCGAGGCGCTGTCTGTGCTCAGCAGCTTCGAGGAGAGGAACAGCATCCTGAGACAGCATTCTTCTAGTACATTCCTTCATACATTCATTCTACATGTTTTCACTGAGCACCTCCCAGATGAAGGCATTGTTGAAAAATAGTCTAAATTTCTTCTTTGCGGTCATAAAAATGCCATTCATTGTGGAAGAGCTGAGGAACGATAGCTGGTCTAGAATCCAGGAGATGGAATGGGTAGACTTGGGGCTTTAGTCTCAGTGTCTGCCACCAGCCAGTTTTCCTGTTCAGAGCTCTGAGTTGGAGGCGAGTCGCCACTATGTTTCAGGTTTCTGGCAGTCGGGTTCATTTGCCTCACAATACTTTCCTGTTGTTTTTTGCAGCAAACCAAAGAGAGAGTGAAGCTATTGATACAGCTGGCTGATGGCTTTTGTGAAAAAGGGCATGCCCATGCGGCAGAGATAAAAAAATGTGTTACTGCTGTGGATAAGAGGTACAGAGATTTCTCTCTGCGGATGGAGAAGTACAGGACCTCTTTGGAGAAAGCCCTGGGGATTTCTTCAGATTCCAACAAATCGGTAAATGGCCTTATGCAAGCTGAATAAAACATGATCTTCTTCCTAACGCCCTCTTTGCTGATTTCATTAACTGAGTTCATTGACTTTCTTATTCCACAGAGTAAAAGTCTCCAGCTCGATATCATTCCAGCCAGTATCCCTGGCTCAGAGGTGAAGCTTCGAGATGCTGCTCATGAACTTAATGAAGAGAAGCGGAAATCTGCCCGCAGGAAAGAGTAAGCCAATCTTTCAGAATCGATCAGGATTCATTGAAAAAGTGAAGAAAATGTCATTTGGACACACTTGCTTCTGCGTGTGCTTTGAAGTCACATGGCACCCAGGCTTTTTGTGGCTCTGAGTGTGCTTAGTTATGTCAGCACAGTCTTCACTGGGCTTAGTTATGATGTCAGCACAGACTCCACTGGGCTCACTGTCCTCTTATCAGCTGTTCAGAAACAGCATCTAGTTTTTATCCCTGTGCCTATGTTTCATGTGGAGTTGCCAAATTGTCATTAATAGATAGTGATACCAAGGAAAGGAAATTAATAGTTTTTATCACATCTAAAACAAATTTAGGTGTTTAAAAGTTGCCAGGTAGTAAACTCTATATAAATAAAAAAAGAGTATGCTAATCCATTGGTTCTTAATTGGCAATTTTGTCCCCTGGGGGCACTGAAAACGTGAGGGGACATTTTGGTTGTCTCAGTGGGGAGTGGGAGGGAGTGCTGTTGGCATGTAGTGGGAAGCCGCTGGGCACTCTGCAGTGCAGAGGACAGCCCACAGCAGAGTTACCTGGCCCCACATGTCCATAGCGTCAGGTTGAGAAACCCTGATCTGGCAATATACCCCAATAAAATGTTTGCAGAAATCTTTTTTCCCCCTTTGAATTAGTGGCTGGATACTGTTCTTCTGTCTATTCATGATTTACCTCTCCAAAATAATCACCCTAATACTAATACTTTTAGGCTCTCTCTATTATTTCATAAATCCATAAAAGTAGATAGTGAAGTAAGCTGCACTCCTGTCTTCCTCTCTTCAAGGTTCATAATGGCTGAGCTCATTCAAACTGAAAAGGCCTATGTAAGAGACCTCCGGGAATGTATGGATGTAAGTAAGTTTTTTTTTTTTTTTTAGCTTATTTATTTAGATTGAACATAAGCTTGCTCTTTTATTCTTACCTGTTGGTGGTCTTTAGGGTAATCACAATTTTTTTCTGTCATTTTTTAAAATTTAAAGTATGCTTAAGCAGGCAGTCTTGTGTTTCTGCACTTCTGTGGAGTTCTAGGTTTGTTTTTCAGTCATTACAGAGATGATACAGCATTAATCCTCCCATTCTGTTTATCACATGATGGCCTGGCTGACATTCTTTTTGTATAGAATTTTACAGCAGCTTCAGAGAAATCTGCCTACTAATTATGACTGGCAACTAATACTCAGTGGTATCAGGAATATTTTTGTTGTGCTTGTAGAGTAGATTAATTCCAATATTTGAAGCTGGAAAGAATTTTAGAGTTGAAAAGTATAGGAACTCTTCTCAAGTATTAACAGTAACCGAGGGCCCTTTTTAGATGGGTTTTTCATTGTTTTGTAAAAGGGTCCAGTCCTGTTATACTTTTGCTTATACATTAACTCTCTGTATTTACAGATGTCAGAAACAGCTTTTTCTTGAAAATGTGGTGTTTATTTCTGTCTAATCCCTGTTTCCCTCTTGGCCAGACCTACCTGTGGGAAATGACCAGTGGTGTGGAAGAGATCCCACCTGGCATTGTCAACAAAGAACTCATAATCTTTGGAAACATGCAGGAAATCTACGAATTTCATAATAAGTGAGTGGCTTTCCTTTGGGAGCAGTTACTCTTGAAATCCACATGTTATGCTGAAGTTTCATCACAAGAAATGAAACGTTCCTGTTGAATTCAGCAGATTTCAGTGATTTTGTTGCCACTTAAATGAAGCCTATCAGTCTTTCTCCAAAAAGACTGACATTCTAGAAACTTGTTCAATACAGACTTAATGTTATATTTGTACTTACCTTCTACAGAAATAAGATCAGGAGAACTAGGAAAATATTTGTATAGGAAGCTTAACTTCTCTGAAGCCAAACCATAGGTGCCCTGTGAGTTATTTCTCAGGGTTGACAGACAGTGCCATCGGCCTGCTGGCCTGTGCTGTTCAGTCTCTTATAGTAAGAGACGGGGAACTGAAGAAGCAACAGAAGTATGTTCTGACCAAAATAAAATGTACTTTCCACTTTCCATTGGCCACAGGAGGTACATGATTCTGTTTTGATATTTTTAAAGCAGCAGCGGCAGAAGCTCCTTTAGGTGGCCTTTGGCGAGATGATGCTGGGGTCAGCAAGAGCGCAGTCCCCTCACTCCCCAGCAGGAGGCAGAAGAGACCAAGGGTTTTCAACCGAATATTTACATCTCTAAAGTATATCCTCAGTGAATTCACTAGCACTTTCCCAGAAATAAATTTGTTAGAAAGTGTTTGAAGGCTAAACTGGTTAGCTATTTGAAAGTCACAATAACTTTCCCTAGTTAAGAGGTACACGTTTTGCTAATTCTTTAGGGGGCACAGATTTATCCATTTCTAGCACATCTCACTAGTAAAATGTTTTAAAACACCTTCATAATATATTACTTTTATTCTTTGCAGCATATTCCTAAAGGAGCTGGAAAAATATGAACAGTTGCCAGAGGATGTTGGACATTGTTTTGTTACTTGGGTAATGAAATCTCAACCATTTGTTCTCTTGCAATTATTAGGTGGTATTGAAAGAAGTTAGGAGGCATGTTCTTCATCTCCTCTAAGTCACCATCTTCTGCTAATGTCCATGCATGCAGAGAAGTCGACTTTACCTCAAAGAATTGCATACTCCAACTAATTGTTATTGTGGAGTGAGTTTGTTTTTGGCGCTGGTGATGGTTTGAAATAGAGTATTTAGCATGACAGGCCTCTGCTTGACCCTGGGACATTGCTGATAGATGAGTTCCCAGTCCTTCTGGGGGATCGACCATTCTAGAAGGGAGGCAGATAGGTGAACCTGGGATCATGCTGTCCAGAGCCCACAGCCAGGTGTGCACACATTGCTGCGGGAAGAGAGGATAGGTACTCAGACCGGCGTGCCGGGGTTGGGGAGGCTGCTGTAGTTGTGTGCTGTCAGAACCATGTGTTTCTTATTTCAGTAGCTTTCTTTTTAAAATAGGGTATCTTTAACTTGAGAACTGTAGGCTTCAATTTCCGTTATCCACACAGCTTCTTTTCTATATAAAAGTTTATCATATGTTGACTTGTTATGGTTTAAATGAGTTTTTTGGTTTTTTTTTTTTTGGCTTATAGGCAGACAAGTTTCAGATGTATGTCACATATTGCAAAAATAAGCCTGATTCTACTCAGCTGATTTTGGAACATGCAGGGTCCTATTTTGATGTAAGTAATAGATTCCTAAAGAGACCATAATTTTCCAAGTTGTGTACGTAAAATGCAATATTACTCATAATTTTCACCTAATTGATAGTACAATACTTTCATTTTTATCTATCATGTTTATATTGGGCTATTCTTACATTGTCTTCTGCTTTTAAAAGATACTATACAAGTACTGGAAGTATCTGTCAGAAGCTCAGATTGTAATATATACACACATGTTTGTGTGTATATATTACTACTGTTTGTATTCATTTATAATGTCATTACTATTTATAGTCAATAAACTTTTTCATGTGTAATATTGTACACAGAAGATATAAACTATTAAGCTTCTTTTCCCCTTAGTGAAACAGAAATAAATTTGAATCTTTTTAGTTGTTTTTCCTATTTTAATTCCATGATGTTACGTATTTTCAAAAGTGACCTACCACTAAAATTTTACAAATAGTGCCATAACAACTAGGATAATTAGAAAGCTAATTCATTGTGTTCTCATTGGAGTAAACATAGATACAGGTCATCTGTGTTTTGAAAGCTATCTCAGTGGATTATTCAGCACAAAAAGGATGGAGCTTTAGAATGTGATACACAGAGTGCTTTCTGGGTTTCCAGAACTTGGTCAAATATGTGCCCATATATTTTGATTGAAGGATAAGGTGCTATTGAATAGTGTGCATAGTTTGGTGCATAAGGTTATGAGGATGTAGGACTTGTTTTCTGTCTTTACACTTGTGCATGAACAGGTGGAATAATCAGCTCTTACCTGAAAGTCTGGGGAAGTTGAATAAACTTTGCAGTTTGTGCTTTGAGACAAAGCCCTACCTGTAGATGACCCTATTTTAATTGTCGTTCTCTTGACCATTACATTACACATCACTGCCTTTGTAAATAGGAAGCCTTCTCCCAGGCCAAAGTGGACTTTTCTTTTTAATATTTCACATGATTCTAGGTCTTTTGCCATCAGATGAAATTCAGCACCTGTATATGGAGTTAGAAGTATTTTAGTATTAAGTATTTCACTAAAACAGTGAGACCACATAGCACAACATTATTTAACGTTTGGAATCAAAGCCATTTTAGAAACCCCTATGTCCTAAAACATATCTTGACGAATAAGAGAAATCATGCCTGTCAGAGATTTCACAGTTTACATGCTTTCAGTATCCATTGTACAGTTGGTTTATTTTTTAGAGGCTTTCTGCTACAGCTTCCTCTGTTCTCCAGGATGACAGCCTTTGATGATGCTTCTTTCCAGTATCAAGCGTTATTGAACATCTGCATGGTGCTCATTAACTCTAAGCTTTATCCTAGGTGCTAGTGTAAAGTGGTGAGTAGCACAGACAGGGCACCTGTCTTCACAGCAAGGAATACAACCAGCCAGCAGGTCATTGCATGTAAAGGACATAATTATAAAATGCAAAGTACAAGTCATGGCATTAAATGTGCCGCTGGATGTAGATCCTCCTGCTCCAGGGTGCCCCTTTCTCTCTCCAGAAGTAACATTTTAGAAGCAAAGAAGTTTGTGTTAATATTCTAGGAGCCTTTTAGTAAGAGGAAGCTTTATTATTTCAGCATGATTAAATAGTTATTAGGTACAGTATTTGGAAAAGTAATATGTCTTATAGCCATGGTTTAATAGTGTACCCCTATGATAAGGCTTATTTCTTGCTTTGTTTTGTTTTAATACAGGAGATACAGCAACGACATGGATTAGCCAATTCCATTTCTTCCTACCTTATTAAACCGGTTCAACGAATAACAAAGTATCAGCTCCTTTTAAAAGTATGTATAATGCATCTTCAGCCTGTGAAATATTATGAATTATGTATTATTATTTTGACATTTACTGTATATTTATATAATTACCCTGATTTTTTTGAAACACCTAGTCAATTAATTTTAGTTTTTAATTCATTAGTATTTATTGCCCTGCCTAATTGCTCATTACAGGAATTAAATGAGAGTATATGTCATGATTATGTATCTGAACTGCACTGACTGACCCTAATCACTAACGTAAAATGAGAAATCACTGGTTCTTGATATTTTAGTACCCATAGTTCCCAGTCGTGGCTAGCCGACTGCGGGCCAGCCATGGTGCACTTTGGTATACTTTGCATATGTTGACCTCCCAACAATGCTAGTCCGCAGGGGTGGAAACTAGCCTTAGAGGGCAAAGAATGTGCCCAGAATCATCACTCACACCCATTAACAAGCTCAGCTGAAGCCACAGAGAACCCACGTCCAGGCAGCTTTCTCCATCTTGTTGCTCGTCACTGATGTCACACCCCTCACGGCACACCTGATTCATACTGATCACAAGTATTGGAGTCAGCCTGACCTCTACTTTTTATTGGTTGTGAATTATTATAATTCAAATCACATTAAGGAAAACAATAGCGATTATTGACAGTAGAAAGGTAAACAAACTTACATCTTGACAATAGGAAGGGAAACAAACTTAAATTTTGTGACAACTCTTAGCACAAATTCTATTATATATCATCAATACACATTTTCTTGACTACATCAGAATTATTGACAGCTTCTGTCTGGTGATGTTCAGCATACCATTTTCTCGGCTGATGAATTTTATTAAGCATTTAAATTAGAAACCATTCATCCCAGTGATGGTATTCTGTGAATTTCACTATGTTCCACCTACTGTCCTAGGCACGACAACGGGAAGTTATTATGTAATTTGTCTAGATATGAAAGAAATTTAGAAGGTGGAGTTACAAATGCCTGAAACTCTTCTTTACCCTTTTTGTTAGAAAAATCTAGAAACAGTAGTGAGTGGCTACATTGTTTTGTGAAAGTGATACTATTACGGGATTTTTCTGTTGGAAAAGCTCTCCTGTACTTTCATATCAAAATTCCCTTAAGTGTTTTTGTGACCATCACTGCAGAAATATATAATTGCTATGAATGCAAAATAAGTCAGGAGGCTAATTGTTAATATGCAAATTTGTCCTTTGCTTTCTAATTCTGCAAAGGCAGTTTACCTTTTAGTGTCCTTAGGATGTAAGGATATCTACATGTCTACATATGATACAACATATCTACAACCATATAATCTTTGATAAACCCGACAAAAACAAGCAATGGGGAAAGGATTCCCTGTTTAATAAATGGTGTTGGGAAAACTGGCTAGCTATGTGCAGAAAGCAGAAACTGGACCCCTTCCTGACACCTTACACTAAAATTAACTCCAGATGGATTAAAGACTTAAACGTAAGACCTAACACCATAAAAACCATAGAAGAAAATCTAGGCAAAACCGTTCAGGACATAGGCATAGGCAAGGACTTCATGACCCAAACACCAAAAGCATTGACAACAAAAGCCAAAATAGACAAATGGGACTTAATCAAACTCCACAGCTTCTGCACGGCAAAAGAAACAGTCATTAGAGTGAATCGGCAACCAAACCAACAGAATGGGAAAAAATTTTTGCAGTTTACCCATCTGACAAAGGGCTGATATCCAGAATTTACAAAGAACTCAAACAGATTTACAAGAAAAAACAAGCCCATTCAAAAGTGGGCAAAGGATATGAACAGACACTTTACAAAAGAAGACATACATGAGGCCAACAAACATATGAAAAAATGCTCATCATCACTGGTCATTAGAGAGATGAAAATCAAAACCACATTGAGATACCATCTCACGCCAGTTAGAATGGCGATCATTAAAAAATCTGGAGACAACAGATGCTGGAGAGGATGTGGAGAAACAGGAACACTTTTACACTGTTGGTGGGAGTGTAAATTAGTTCAACCATTGTGGAAGACAGTGTGGCAATTCCTCAAGGCCTTAGAAATAGAAATTCCATTTGACCCAGCAATCCCATTACTGTGTATATATCCAAAGGACTATAAATCGTTCTACTATAAGGACACATGCACACGAATGTTCACTGCAGAACTGTTTACAATAGCAAAGACCTGGAACCAACCCAAATGCCCATCGATGATAGACTGGACTGGGAAAATGTGGCACATATACACCATGGAATGTTATGCAGCAATCAAAAATGATGAGTTCGTGTCCTTTGTAGGGACATGGATGAACCTGGAGAACATCATTCTCAGCAAACTGACACAAGAACAGAAAATGAAATGCTGCATGTTCTCACTCATAGGCGGATGTTGAACAATGAGAACCCATGGACACAGGGAGGGGAGCGCTACACACTGGGGTCTGTTGGGGAGAATAGTGGGGGGACAGTGGGGGGGTGGGGAGTTGGGGAGAGATAGCGTAGGGAGAAATGCCAGATATAGGTGAAGGGGAGGCAGGCAGCAAATCACACTGCCACGTGTGTGTACCTATGCAACAATCTTGCATGTTCTTCACATGTACCCCAAAACCTAAAATGCAATTAAAAAGAAAAAGAATACAAAAGAAAAAATAAAAAAAAAGATGTAAGGATTTTGTTTGCAGCATTTAGTTCTAGTAAACTGATGCTTACATTTTTAAACCTAACCTTACTCTGCCCAGAGGTTCTCCAGGAGAACAGTAATAAGCTACCTTAAGCTCCCCAAAAGGAAGGTTTTCTGCCAGTTTTAAGTGATTAGGCTCAGTACACTGCATTTATGAAGCAGTGTTTGCCATGCTGCTTAGAATCAGAGGTGAACACCATCGGTCATGAGGGAAGGTGCCCATACAGCAGCTGAGTTCCTCTCAGGCAGCCACTGGGAGGCCAGTGCTGGCTGCATTGTCATGCCTCTCTTTTGTCGACTACGGAGACATAAAACACTGCTGTTGCTATTACTGCCGGGTAATAGTTATGAGTACACCAGTAAGAAAATAGCTTGGAGCCCACCAGAAGGTGAACTTATTGTTCCTGCTGTCATTCATTTAATAACAGACGTTTCTCTAAATAGCTCTGAAATGTAATCACACACATAGGGCTCCCCAGAGAGGTGTAATTCAACTATCAGAGCTTTTCTAAACATCCTACGCAAAAAGGAAATGTGTTTGACTGTAAGTACTTATGCAGCATTACTGTTTCTGCTGTGAGGCTTGGCTGGTCCAGTTTAGATGCGGCATTGCGTTAATGGCCCCAGGGTTCGGAGTCACACACTGAGATTGCGTGGGAAACGTACAGTTGGACCTGGCATGGCCATCAGCTGCAGTAGCTGATCATGTGTTACATAATTAAATATTTCTGTTTATCTTTTTTTTTTTTTTTTTTTAAACAGAGTTTTCCTCTGTCCCCCAGGCTGGAGTACAGTGGCATAATCTTGGTTCACTGCAACCTCCACCTCCCAGGTTCATGTGATTCTCCTCCCCCAGTCTTCCAAGTAGCTGACATTACATGCACATGCCTCCATGCCCAGCTAATTTTTTTTTTTTTTTTTTAGTAGAGATGGGGTTTCACCATATTGGCCAGGCTGGTCTGGAACTCCTGACCTCATGTGATCCACCTGCCTCAGCCTCCCAAACTGCTTGGATTACAGGCAGGAGCTACCACACGTGGCCTCTGTTTATCATTTTTGAAGCTTGACTATTAACAGGTATATTAATTTCATCTTAAACTATCACTACATCTGGTTTACTTTGATTTGAACAGGACAAACCCTGCCATTCATTGAATAAACAGGTAGTCATTCATTTCTGTGAGAACATATGCCCAGTTGACCACACTCTGCTTTTATCTTGAAAGCCATGGACTTTCATAGACTCTGTTTCTGCCAAGGTCTCATTGGCAGAGCATTCTGCAGTCTTTACCTCGTGTCTGTTCTTGATCTCTGCAGGAGCTGCTGACATGCTGTGAGGAAGGAAAGGGGGAGATTAAAGATGGCCTGGAGGTGATGCTCAGTGTGCCGAAGCGAGCCAATGACGCCATGCACCTCAGCATGCTGGAAGGTAACGGGACTTTCCACGCTCCCAGTGTGCATTTGTGCGGTTTCTAATGACACTTTGTAGATGGATTTCCTGAACCCTAAAAATCCCAGCTTTGTGTCTTTGTTACTGGTTAAGAGCTTAGGCATTCTTTTTTAAAGAATTGGTATCATTGCTTTTTTAAAGGACCACATAAAATGCTTCTACACTTGTTGAAAGCCCTTTCTTATTCTTTCACTGGGAAAGAGCCTCTCCACAGTCTGGACGCCAACAGCACTTTGTGCTATTTGGACTCCTATAGAGCTTGCCACAGGCCACCTGCTCTCCCTGTTAGATGGATGGGTAGGTGGGTGGATGGATGGATCCAACCCCAAGACTCTGAAATCCTTAAAAGAATGTGTTGCTTCCCCATCTCTGTATCCATCACATCACTTGCTAGAGCCTAGAACATAGTAGGTATCAGATATTTCTTTGTGTAGTTGAATTTGGCGTGTAACATGGTAAACAGAAAATTAGATAAATATGTTTCAAAACGACTATAGCAATTATAGTTTCCATAAATGCCTCTGTTTAAGAAAACTCTTCCTGTGGTGCAAAGCTTAGTTCTTGCCAGGCTATGCAGAGTAAGTTATAATCCTGCTCCAAATGCTTTTGCTACCCTGTGTCTTTATGGGTAACACTGAATAGTGTATCAGTTAGATCATAGGTGCTGCTGTGGGTAATAAAACCCAAAACTCAGAGGCCAAGCAAAACAGATTGTTCTTTCTCTGATATAAAATGCTGATGTGGTATGGCACCCCTTCATGATGTCACAAGGACTCAGGCTGTGTTCCAGCTGATTTCTCTCCATTCTAGTTGTTTTTCTGGCTGGCTAGGTCCAGGGTGTTTCAAGACCTCACCAACATTTCATCTAACAAGAAGTAGAGAAGGTCAGGGAGGGAACTCCAGATGGGCAACCACTAGCAGTGGTGCCCGCTGCTTTGCTCAGTTGTCCAGAATGTAGGTACCCAGTTGCTTTTAACTGTGGTTGGGGCTGGGGAGCGAAGTGCTTATTTTGAGCACTCCTAGTGGGAGCTTCTACTATGAGAAAAAAAGGAGAGAGTGGAAGTCAGGAGGTAACGGGCAGCCTCTGCCCCAGGGCTGGCTTTACTAAGCCCTGGGAGCTTCATATCCAGGTGATAAAGCAGGCTACTTCCATGAAGAGAGGAGCAGCGAAGTCCAGAGCACAAATGATTCACATGCAGAATGTCACATTCAGAGGAGGAAGGGTGCACTAAGAATGGGTAGCAAGGGACTTCTCCAAGAAGCAGGATCATGGCAGGTCCTTGAAGAAAGGTTGGCTCTGAGCAGACTGTCTGGGAAGAGCGCTCTGGGTCAAGGAAGCAGCGAGAATCAGGACCCAGACTGGAGCGTAGGTGGGGGCTTAGAGGAGAGTCGGAACTGTCCCAGAGGAGGAGGTTCATGTGGTGGGATGCTGCGGTAGAAGGCTGAAGAGAAGTAGAGAGTGGAACCAGATCTCAGCTGGTGTGAAGGCCCCCAAAGGGATAGAGCTCAGACAATAAAGCCATGAGGAGTCGAACAAAGGAAAAAGCATGCAAAGTGGTGTGTTCGGAAGAATTATCCTTTGTAGGATGGGTCAGTGATGTGAAGACTCGAGGCAGAATCAGATGGGAAATTCTCATTTTTTAAATGTTGAAAATAGTAATAATGCTTTCTTGTGCATCATTTTTTCTTTTGCTTTTAAATTGATTTGCCTCCTTTTTTCATGTTGTAGGGTTTGATGAAAACATTGAGTCTCAGGGAGAACTCATCCTGCAGGAATCCTTCCAAGTGTGGGACCCAAAAACCTTAATTCGAAAGGGTCGAGAACGGCATCTCTTCCTTTTTGAAATGTCCTTAGTATTTAGTAAAGAAGTGAAAGATTCCAGTGGGAGAAGCAAGTACCTTTACAAAAGCAAATTGTTTGTAAGTATAGTCTCCAGAATTGTAAGTCTAAAGGTAACATAGTTGCAGTCTTTTTGTAGGTAGAGAAGTATTGTTCATCGACTTCAGTTTAACCTCCCAATCTGTCCTGAAATGTTCAAGTCGGAATGGTTTGTAGCGTTTTCATCAGTGAAATTCTTTGCCACCCTCAAGTCCACTAGAGGGTGCTCCAGGGTTTATAGACTTAGGAAATTTGCTCTTCTTAAATCTTGTTACCATGTAACTGCAGGATAAGAAAACATTTCATAAGTGAAATCATTTATCTCCAGTGTGCTTAACTGGCTTTATAAATAAAATAATCATATATATGACTAAGTTCTCATTATAATTAATTTTTCAACCATAAACGTTAGAGGGTATGGAAACAGCTTTACTGGGTGTCTCACTGTAGACTTACCATGCTGAGGTTTGATGTTTTTCTCATTAAAAATAAATTTATGAAATAAAAATGCATAAGTAGATTTTTGATTGTTTATAACAGTGAAATGTCACAATTAGAGAAAATACACATAAGCCGAAGCACAGTTTGGAAGCTGCACCGCCCCAGCTGTGTGGGGACAGCTGTCCCTGAGTACTTGGCAGACCCGGTGATGGTGAGACATTTTAGTTCGTACTTAACCTGTCATTGTACTTCTTGGCAGAAGAAGCATATCTGGTGCCATTTTGTGACCAGTAGCTAGTCTTACCAGCCTCTTTGTGAAAGTACATTTCAAAAGCCCAAGGGCAGCGCAGTCTCTGGATCTCCTGCACTTCCATCTTCCATAGTGGGCTATTTCTCAGAGGCTTATTCACGCAGGGTCGCTGGGCAGGGCTGGGCAGAGGGGACGATTGGGTGGCACTAAGGAAGAGTCATCATCCAGAAAAGAATAGAAAATGCCAAAGGGTGGATTTCTTTATGGCAGATCTCTTACAAATATTGGTAGATGTTTGCAGTTTGGAGAACTCACACATCATAATTTTTTATGATGTCCATATATAATGAAACTCCTCAAATACTAAAATATCTCCAAGTATGGAAATCATCTTAATAATAATCTGGAATTCACAGGTTCCAACTAAAGGTTTTCATACCATTTTGTTTGGCTTATATCCTGTTGGATTACATCTTGCCTGACATCATTTTAGGTCACATTCTGACTGGAAAGAAAAAATGCGGTGTTGCTGGCTAGTAATTTCATTAGCTGGCTCTAATCTGCCTTTAGAGACCAAGCTCGTCTGTTTTAGCAGCCAATACATCTTCACTTAATTTATCTTTTAGAAGTTAAGATTCCCTCAGAGGCCACCTCTGGAGCTCTGGATGATGAATCACTTCCTTTGCTGAGGTGGAGAATGCACTGGGGGACCTTGACTGTGGGGGAGGGGCTGAAGCTCTTGACCTTTCTCTGCATGCTCCCATGTTCTGCATATATTACAGAGGAAGTTTGCCTCTTCGCCCTTAAAGTTATTGATGAAATACTGAAAGCTAATGCTGTCGATAAAGAAATTGGAAAAAACTAAGCTGTTAAAACTTCATTTGCCTTCTGGGAAGCTGTGTCATTAATGCTGAAGAGAATATGGTGGCAGCCCTTTTGTAACCAAGACAGACTCATTTTGCAGTTTGTTGCTTGTACAATTGCAAATAGTCAACTCTTGACTTTCACATAGGAGGGTTTTCACATTTTGGTTTTCTTCCCCTGGATTTTTTCCTTTTGATCTGTCTGGGGTCTCCAGTAGCGGCACTCACAGGAAGCAAAGGATGAAACCAGTCACCTGTAGCCTAAGAACACGATGTCCCCATTGTAACTCTCATGAGAGCTGAGATCACTATCGATGTTCTTATAACCTAGCGTGGCACCTGTAACCAAAACCTGTTTCCTTGGTCTCTGTTCTGCATCCTTCCCGAATTTTACTGTCCACTAACTGTACAATTCTCTTCTTATCCAGACCTCAGAGTTGGGTGTCACAGAACATGTTGAAGGAGACCCTTGCAAATTTGCACTGTGGGTGGGCAGAACGCCAACTTCAGATAATAAAATCGTCCTTAAGGTACGTTCATTTGAAGCTGGGACTGTGCTGTGTGAAACGATTATGGTGGCCATCCATGCTTGCTTTTCCATTGTTGAAGTAGTTGAAGTACACTGGTTTTCATATTATTTTATTTGTTATTGTTTTGTGTGTGTGTGTGTGTGTGTGTGTGTGTGTGTGTGTGCGCCGCGCTTTGTGTGTTAGCTCTATTCAGATTGGTGGCTACCACACAAAGAAGAGTGGAATAAATTCAGTTTGGTGTTCTAGTGATGAAACAATTTGAGCTAAACTTTCACTTGACTCCTAAAAGGGCAAATAAAGCAAGGGCTTTTTAAACTTCTTCCGTTCTTCCAGTCTTGGAATTCATTGACTCTATGAGAAATGCAGGAAGTCAGGGTAGAGGAGGAATGAGATACTGACTAACAAGTCTCATTGCTCACTTGTCCTGTTTCCAAAGGAAAAAGTCACCTGGTGCATTTGTGAGGACCTGCGATAGGAAGTCGAGGCCAACCGTACCCACAGTCCTTACAGGGTCCTCAGCTCTGTGGCTTAATAGTTTGGGGACAGAGGAAAAGGGGAATGATGCTTAATGACAGGGTTTGATACTGTTGTAATTTAAAATTTAAAACCACTCAGGATGCTTTAGGGTATATAGTCTTTAGGGAGGAAAATCTCTTGGAATATTTGATGTGAGCTCTGTTTTGATTGTACTGACCTCTCCTGGGAATGGTCAAGAGCTCTAAGGCTGTCTTGTGTACTTCCCTCCTCTGTGTTTGAGAAAATACAGATGGAACTTTTGGAGCCATCTGGAAACGCCATCAGCGGCTTTGGGATGTTTGGGGATGGTGGAGCTAAGGTTTGTAGAATATTGGAAGAAGAGCCAGAGTGTAATGGGACTCTGGTGTGTGAACCTGCATGTCGCCCCTTGTGTCTCTTGCATGCCTCTTTGTCTCTTTGGTATTTTCAGTGACAGTGAATTACTCCCGGTACCTTCAGTCTTCTAGAGCCTGTTCTTCAGTGGAAGCCATTGTCTTCGTAAGATCTTTGTTCATATGTAACAGTGGGTTGTTTTGCAGTGAATGTGTGATGTGATTACCAGCCCAGTATGTTCTGACTAGTACTGGCCTAAAGCCCTGGATACAAATTGTACGGCCCAGTATGTTCTGACTAGTACTGGCCTAAAGCCCTGGATATAAATTGTACGGCCCAGTATGTTCTGACTAGTACTGGCCTAAAGCCCTGGATATAAATTGTACGGCCCAGTATGTTCTGACTAGTACTGGCCTAAAGCCCTGGATATAAATTGTACGGCCCAGTATGTTCTGACTAGTACTGGCCTAAAGCCCTGGATACAAATTGTACGGCCCAGTATGTTCTGACTAGTACTGGCCTAAAGCCCTGGATACAAATTGTACGGCCCAGTATGTTCTGACTAGTACTGGCCTAAAGCCCTGGATATAAATTGTACGGCCCAGTATGTTCTGACTAGTACTGGCCTAAAGCCCTGGATATAAATTGTACGGCCCAGTATGTTCTGACTAGTACTGGCCTAAAGCCCTGGATATAAATTGTACGGCCCAGTATGTTCTGACTAGTACTGGCCTAAAGCCCTGGATACAAATTGTACGGCCCAGTATGTTCTGACTAGTACTGGCCTAAAGCCCTGGATACAAATTGTACGGCCCAGTATGTTCTGACTAGTACTGGCCTAAAGCCCTGGATACAAATTGTACGGCCCAGTATGTTCTGACTAGTACTGGCCTAAAGCCCTGGATACAAATTGTACGGCCCAGTATGTTCTGACTAGTACTGGCCTAAAGCCCTGGATATAAATTGTACGGCCCAGTATGTTCTGACTAGTACTGGCCTAAAGCCCTGGATACAAATTGTACGGATAGCCAAATTTAAATAACTGTAATTTTCTTCCTAAGGTGTAACATTTTAAAGTATACTCAAAACCTAAAACTTGCAACTTACATTAACCACTTATCCAGACTAGCTACCGTAGCAGATGCCAAAAGGTGCTGCCAAAAGATAGTGACAGATATTTTAGCCAGATCAGGACTTTCATTTAGGATATCATAAAATGCTCATGGTACGATTGAAAAATAAGACTTTTCTCAGGCTTCACTAGGTAGAAGTTTTCTAGGTAGTTTTGGATACTGTCTTTCTGCCTTCCAAGGAGAAAGTAAAGGAAATGATATTCTCATTGATTTCAGGGGTTGCTGTGTGGTGCTGGTGCAGGGCAGGTGATGGTGGTGGCAGGGATGGTAATGTCATGATGATGTAAGTGGAGGTGTGGAGACGGCGTGATGGTGGTGGCGGTGGAAGTTTAGATGGCAGTGAGGGTGGAGGTGGTGGCGGTATGGATTTTGGTGGTCACGGTGATATAGTTGTGGTGAAAGTGTAGAGGGTGAGGGTGTAGATGAAGCTAGTGGTGTCAATTTGGTGATGGGGCATTAGTACGAATGGTGGCAGTGATGTAGATGGTGGTGATGAGGGTACAGATGGTGATGGCTTAAGCTTTGGTGGTGGTGATGGTGGTGGTGGTGGTGAGGTTGTAGATGGAGGTAATGGTGTAGATGGTGGTGGTGATGGTGGTGGTAAGGTAAATGGAAGTAATGGTGTAGATGGTGGTGGTGGTGGTGTAGTGGTAGTGTATAGGCAGTGGTAGTGGAGATGGTGGTGAGGGTTTAGGTATTGGTGGTGAGGGCATAGATGGTGGTGGTACAGATTTTGTTGGTCTAGATGGTGTGGTGAGAGTGTAGATGGAGTGAATTTAGATTTTGGTGTAGAGAGATTGGAGATGGTGGTGAGGGTGTAGGCGTGGTGGAAGTAGAGGGATCACGCTGCTGGAGGTGCTGATGTTGGTGGAGAACACGGTGGAAATGGCGATGGTGATGTCCTAATTGTAAAACAAAACTCTGATTATTTTCACTGCTCTGGTCTGGAAAGGAGAATTGTATTTCTAAGTCTTAAACAGATTGTGGCTATCCAGAGTATGAAATGAACTATCCCCTCTCTTAGCCAGGTAGGACCTTTTTATTTAGTACTTTTCCTCAATTACCTTTCTCTTACTATTTCTGAAAAATTGACATCTCTTTTTCTTGTTTAGTTTCTTTAAGGTTAAGATAATTACTCGCCGTAAGTGTGATGATCAGTTCATTTAAGAATTGTCTTTATTTCTGAACCATATTAACGATTCTCCTCAGTTGTTTCCATACTCTGCCAAATGTTCTCTTGCAGGTACTTCTCTTTAGTTAACCTTCCAACTGTTTTTATTGGGCATTTAAATTCCAACCGATTTGTAGTTTTTAAAAAGGTTTCTTCTCCTGAGTCACTTACTTCGTACACCCGTTCCCTGGTCACTCCCTGCCCTCTCCCAGAAGACTTTGGTTTCCCTGCTGTCCTGTTAGGCCAGGGAAGAGGGAGCAAGAGGCTGCCTTTACCCATCTTTTCTTTCCCTGTCACTACCTGTTAGTAACTTTAAAGACGTGTCCTTTGGTTAAAACAGTTTCTATAGAAAGAGGGTGATGAACTTTAATTTCCTTTCCCAACATGAGCTTTGATTTTCTGTTTTCAGAAAAAGGATACACAGTGAGAAATGCTGAGTGCTCCTCCCTTTGTGATCTCATCTATGATGAGTTATGATAGTTTAATCATGACTACAGGGAATTATGTTTATATCATAGGAGGTTGATATTTTCTGTAAGGAAATTAGAAAGCTGTTAGTAAGGCCCAGAATATGCAGAAAGAAAAAAAAAAAAACCTCCTTTGAGGCAGAGTTAAAAAAAAAATCTGGATCAGATGATGCCATACGTGCTCAGTCTGCCGGTGCTCCCTGAGAATCTGGTCTGTGTTCTCAGAGAATGTTTCTGAAGAGTTGTGATGGAGTTGAGGTGAATCTGCCATCGGCAACTGGCAGTTGGTGAGCTCGTGATGTTGGGCACATTTCTTGTGTCTATACCTCAGTTCCTCATTTATGAGACAAGGCTGAGGGAGTCTCCCACCTGCAGAGTCCTGATGGGTGTGGATGACAGCACGCCAGGGAAGCCCTTGGCTAGGCAGAGGGCTCTGGAGGTGGCGGCAGCTGCGCAACCTTCCTGAATTCAGCAGATGAGGCAGCAAGGCCATGGGGATTTGTTCCGTTTCCTGCTGGCAGTTTGCCTGCTGCCGACCAGTGCACAGTGTTTGCCTAAATAGCCTCAGAGGCATTTGGGTGGTGATGAGGGTGGCTGTGTTGGTTTATTTGCCCAGGACTGCTTAAAAGTTCTTGGGGCTGGAGAATGATGGATTATTACAATAGTCAGAGATCTGGAGTGATATACATCCTATAAAACAAAAATGGTTTTGATGAAAAAACATTTTTAAATAGTTATTTATTTGGTAGCAGATTAAACATAGAATGTGGTTGCTTTTCTGCTGAAAAGTCATTTTGAAAATAGAAACTCAAGGAGTACAGGAGACCTGGGTGTAGTTAGTGCAGGGTCTGGAAAGAGCCCTTCCGTATCCTAAGCAACACTAACACCTTGTTAAGGCTTCCAGTATAGAGAACAAACAGGACTGGATAAAGCACATCCGCGAAGTCATCCAGGAGCGGACGATCCACCTGAAGGGAGCCCTGAAAGAGCCCATCCACATCCCCAAGACCGCCCCCGCCACAAGACAGAAGGGAAGGAGGTGCGTGCATGGCACCGCTGGAGGTCTGTGTATCTGGGAGGAAGGGACGAGGCGGTATTAGCTCACTCTCCTTCAAAAATAATTTCTCAAACATTTCAAGGAGTATGTTTTTAAAACTGCCATTTGTGGTAACATCTTACTTAGTAATAAAACTGCTTTGTCAAGATACGAGCCTCTATGGGCTTAAAGTAAATGAGGGCTGTGTGCAAACCCCCCATTGTTTTGCCTTTCTCACCCGAGCACATGCAGGGCACATGTCTAAATCATGCACATGACCTTGCATAAATTAGAAAGCATCGAGACATTATTGCTTTCTCGTTTTTAAAATGGAAACTATCCTATCAACTCTATTTTATGATGATGGGAATCCAATGGGATGATATATTTTAAACACTCAGCACAGTGGCTAGCAGAACGCTTGCGCTCAGTGAAGGGTGCTGTGACCATTGGCCGCATCCTGGTAGCAGCAGGCACTGGTGAAGGCTGCTAGTTTTAGCTCATTAAACAAATCAGTTGCTTCTCCAGTGACTGCCAGATCAGCAGCGTCAGGAACTAAAAGTTTCTTTGCACTTCCAGGGATGGAGAAGATCTGGACAGCCAAGGAGATGGCAGCAGCCAGCCTGATACGATATCCATCGCCTCGCGGACGTCTCAGAACACGCTGGACAGCGATAAGGTGAGCCGTTCCGGCATTTTGTGTGTGGAGAGAATGTGCTGGTCTCTGATCAAAGCAGCCCCCTCCTTTCTGTTACTCGCAGTTTGTCATCATATTTTCAAGCAGATGATATGTGCCAGGAGTGGTGTCAGGATCCTGTGGTGATGCAGAGAGTTGGGAGATCGGGGTGAGAAAACTTGAATCCTGAGGACTCAGGAGAACTCATTCAACTCTTTCCATCCTGCCCTTTGCAGTGCCAAGTGTGTTACAGGACGTTCTTAGGCTTTTTAATCTTATTCCTAAGCAGAAGACCCTATCACTCAAAATAAAATCCTACACAGAACGCCAGCATGTGTTTTAACTTAGGATCTTTAAGATGGATCTCCCCTCCAGCGACTAGGAGAGACACAAGATGGAAATAAAGAGTGTGGCTTACAGGTTCTGGGGGTCACACGGCACCCCTGGAGGACAGCGAGTGGGTGGGGAGAGAGGTGTCCTTGGGCCAGGGCCATTAGTGGGTCCAGGACATTATCCAAACAGGTTTGGCACAGGGCATGTCAGTCAGTGGACTTAGAGCAAGCAGGCATGAGTTTCAGGAGGTCATGCTGTGACTAAGAAGTTGTCACTCTGACATGTCTGCACAGTCCACATGAGGTGCAAACGTTAGCAAGACCAGTTACACAGGCTTTATGTGGCTGTCCCTTAGAGGAGTGGTCACCAGAAGGAAGTTCTGTGAAGCAGAGATCAGGACCGACCACGTTGAGGACCTGGAAGAGGTGCTCCTGGTATAAGAAAGTCCAGCTTCTGTGGGTTCAGAGTGATGCCAGGGTAACATAGTAAGAACTCACAGCAGTGTAGGAGCAGAGCTGCTCCCATGGAAGGGAAGTGGGGGTGTGGCCCTGTGATGCCCGCTCAGAACCATAGGGTGCAAGCAGAACATAGAAAACATGCCCTGGAATTGGTAACAGTGATGACTAGTGACACAGTGTGAGCTAGATCTGATTTTTATCAAAACAGTTTGTATAGGTATATATTCTTCAAAAGCAGCCTGGAGTATCTCATGAATTAGTTTTGATAGAATCCAAAAAACCTGCAAGGTAAATTGCTAATAGAATTTGGATTCCTGGGTTTACATGATGGATAGAAGGCAAAAAGTTCTCTATTATAGCCAATGGAGAACACTGATCTTAATGAAGTCTTCTGTACCTGCCAAGATGAGTGTGTTCTGTTATATTCCTAGAATGCTAGACTGAATTTTTTTTTTAGAAGTTGACAGTAAATAGGGGATTTATTTATCAGCCCAGAATTGCTGAGTTTCTCATTCCCCAATGCAAGTCGGACCTCATTTCATGAGACCTTTGTCCCCGTCAGGAGACACAGGAGTCTGTTCTCTGCATATCATTTCCGCAGCCCACTCATTTGTAGGAGGGAAAGACACCCTGACCTCACCATCCTTGGGAATTGATTGCAGACAGACGACGGAGTCCAGTATTTGGAGGGTCATTTCCACGGTACATCTTTTAGTCCCAGACTATGGTCTTTTCTCACTTGGTTTTGCAGAAGGATTCGTGATACTTAATGTTCTAGTTTCTAAGACAGGAGTGAGTAGATTTAAAATATTGCTCTGCTGCAGTGATTTTATTTTTCAGTATCCTAGTTTGAGTGATTAGTTTTTTTCTCATTATACTTTTTGGGTTCAGTAAGTAGATCCTAGGACTTAGAGTGGTTAGAATGACAAGACCAGAGAATAAAAAGAATTTCTCATTTTGTTTTGTTCAAGGCTCTGTGTATTGGCATTCAGCAAATATTTCTTGGTGTGTAGTAAAAAGAAATACGATAAATGACATGTTCAGGCATCTGGAGCCTAATAGCATTGCTCCCTGAGACTCCACCCATGGCCATTGGCAAGGTTAAAGAAATAAAGTTTGAGCTTGGAAATGTTGTGTTAAAGTAATATTCATAATTTATTTTTGTATTTTATTTTACTTTTTAATAAAGTAATCAAGGGGATTATCTGTTGAGTTTACATGAGGCTGCCACCTGAAAGAAAAGTCGAATCGTAGCTGCTCCAGTTCGTGGGAAAGTAGCCTTCATTCAGGGCATTTCACAGACTCTGAGATCACCGTCAAGCCCCAAATTCCCATTCTTATAAGATAAACTCCTAGGGCTCTGCTCTGGATTTACCTTAGAGTTCAAAAGTTTAGGTTTTTTGTTTTTTTTTTTTAAAGGTAAATTCTTTAAATGAAATTGCTAAAGAACTAAGTGGAAAAGTTAGCTTTGGAAGATTCCTTTTTTGGAAGTTGGTCTAAGAAGCAAGGGCAACTTGTTTCCTCAGGTAGTTCATGGATAAATGGGTGGCCTGGGAGTGTGGAAATTACCGCTCTATTCAGGAAGAGGCTCTGGAGTCTCCAGCTCATCATTCTGGACAGAGTTGCTGGTGCCACAAGTCATCTCCTTCATGGAGAGAATTCCTTGACTGGTACCCACCTCTTCTCAGCCCCCACGACAGCCCTGACCCCTAAGGCACGTGGCTGGATTCCCCAGCAGCTTGAACAGAAATAGGTCTCTCTATCCTGGAGTTTAGGAGTAGTGAAATTAGCACGACTTCACATCTGTTATAGCATAATAGGGAAGGCTTATGTGAACTGGGAATACAGCAAATTACATTTGTATCCAACAAGAGAGGAAGAATAAATCACTATCAGAAAAGTATAGATTTGCCAAACACACACACACGCATAATTTTATCCTAGCAGTTCCCTAGGATATGAAAATGTTAAGAAAGCTCCCTATTAGATATTCTATCTGTGAAGATAATTCACCAGTTTCTCTTTACCTCATCTGACGTGTTGTCCCTAAACTTTATTCCGGAGCTCAGAAATTCCTGAAGGGTCTCCTGCCAGTTCAGCCATTGCCTCCCTAACCCAGCTCCTGGGATGTTCTTTCTTAATGAGGACCACAGCCTGCCATGCAGTGACACTCACCCTGGTATTCTCATGGTTGTTAACCATCTTGAAGGAAAGACACTGCAGACTGTTTCTTAAACGGACCTGGTGAATGTTCTTAATGCCACTTGCTGAAAGCATCAGTCCTTAGTAGACTCTAAAGCACAGAAAGGATGAAGTGTTGCCTCGTGAGAACAAAACTACAGTGGATGTCTCCTTCTGTTCTGGAGACCTGCGTTTATGAGACTTGCCCGTAAGTCAGAATTTGGAGTTTGGAGAGGACATACCCATGTGGCCTTACAAAAAAGAGGGTGCATGTTTGCTCCCCCCCATGTCTGTGTTGTCCTCTGCTTTTGTGAGGTTTTTCTCTTAGCCATCTCCTGCCATATGCCTCTTTAGCAGAACAGCTGAAAGTCAATAGATGACTCAAGAATACGTTTTGAAAATCAAGGCCTACATCCTTTCCGTAGTCAGTTTCCAGCATGCACTGTCCCTCTGAACCAGGCTTAACCAGCAGCCCCATCTCCAGTGATGGTAACTTTCCTAAGTCTCGAAGTTCTTTCTGCCCTGTGTAGTTTAAGTTTAAGCAGCCTCTCATAACCCGGGGGAAGCCACTTAACCACATTCTGCCTGTTTCACTTAATTTATGATGTCTGTTATTAGTTAGCTGTTATCATGGAATTTGGTTCCATTTGAGAAACTAGGTGGGGGAATGTTTTTGACTCGGCCTCTTGGAGGATTCTGAAGACAAAAGTTATCTGCCAGAGCTGTTAGTAATTCTCAAAAGAGGCACACAGGGTTTAGGGAGAGTTTGGAGGAGGGGCCCTGGAGACACCTTCTTTCCAGGGAGCACTGTCAGCAGAGTGGGGTTAGCCATGAGCCACAGGCCCCAGCAGCACGTTTCCTACGTAGAAAACATCAGTTTTAAAATATGCCTTCTCTTTGTTCCAGAAGTGAGTGTAGTACTGATTCTTGCTGATCTCCATGGTACTTAGCCTGATACAATGATCTTATGAAAATATAATTTGGATTCCAAAGAAATCAAGTGCTTTCCAGATTCTTATCTCATCTGTCCTGAGCGCATCTCCCTGTGGTAGGGAGGAGAGTGCCGAGCCAGGCCTGGGGCACTGCAGAGATCCAGGCCCTCTGCAAGGCCGCCCAGCAGCAGAGGGCCGCAGCCAGACACAGAACGTACATTGAATCATCTGTCCTTTTCCAGACCTTGTTGTTTCATGTAAGAGCCAAATTTGGAGCTAAGTATTTTTACTATACTAAAGAAGCATCTTTAAGAAGTTTTTTTTTTTTCCCAGTCTCTCCCTTATTAGTCTGTGATTTATATCATTTAACTAAAATTCATATTACAAAGAAAATAGAAATCGTGGGACTCAAACTGCTGTGTATTGTAGAGCAAAGCATCTCGCGGCCAACTTGGAGAAATGGCCGAGGTGAGATGAGGAATCCTGTGGAAAAGCCGGCCAGAGCCAGCAGGGCCCAGGTGTGAGCTACCTTTCGAATCTCAGGCCATATGGTTCTTATTTCTAGTGAGTGAGAAATTCCATTGAGACTGACACTTCATGTGGACCCCCTCCCCAAGCTTATAACATGAATATATGGATTCACATATTTAAAAAACATAACTGGTTTCAGTTACTTTTTTTTTTTGTTATTTAAATTCCTGAGATAGGATCTCACTGTGTCACCCAGGCTGGAGTGCAGTGATGTGGTCAGCGCTCACTGTAGTTTTGAACTAAGCTCAAGTGATCCTTGCCTGGCCCCCCAAATAGCTGGGACTGTAAGTGTACACTACTGTGCCTGACTAGTTGGGTTTCTTTTTTTTTGTTTTTTTGGTACAGATAAAGTTGCACTGTGTTTCCCAGCCTGGTCTCAAACTCCTGGCCTCAAGCAATCCTCTCACCTCAGCCTCTTAAAATGCTGGGATTATAGGCATGAGCCACTGCATCCAGCCAGTTTCAGTTATTCTTAATGAAGTCTTAGCACTGTTGGAAACATGAGGTTCTATGTATTATTTTTTTGTTTTGAAATGGAGTCTCGCTCTGTCTTCCAGATTGATGTGAA